TAATCTTTATTTTTTAAGTGTTTAAATGAGAACGCGGGAACATTTACAACGCCGCTCATCATAATGCTCAAGATTACTAAAATACTTAAGATAATATTTTCAAACTTCCTGTGAGCAACTAAATTAAGTGCATACACTTTAAACACCCACCGATTAATATATTGCGTGCACACTCACAGATGTTGACAAATTCATATTTATAGCAATGTAAAAAGCCAGCAGCAAATAAATTGAAGGATAGATGGACTTTCACTTACTTTTGTCCCATTTAACACTGTGGTTCGTCCAACTACATAACTATCTGTTTGAATGTCAATGAAAGCAACACCAGTGTTTTCCAAGTACATTTATATTCCAGCCACTTGTGTTTTTATTTTTCCCACTCACTGTGTTGTTTTGGGTGATCTTGTTGTCTTCACATCTGCTGTGTAGTGGCAGGGAGAGTAAATTCTCTCCAGGATGCAAGGAGGCTTTAGTAAAGTTTCATTTCGGGTCATCTGAAAAGGTATTGTGTGATTCAGCTTAGTTACAAAGGAAAAAATTCCAAACTCTCGACAGAAGCGGATGTATTCAGTTTTTCAGTTATGGAAAGGAGGGTTTGGGAGGAAAGTTTTTATAAAAAATGATTTTTAGATCCTTTGTAATATTTCAAGGGTTTAGCACTGCATTTTAGAGATTAGAAGAGATTTAGAGATGTGGGGCAACATATTCTGAAATAGTATTATGCCGTTTTCTTTTTGCACATTCAGCAAAAGTGAATTGGAAAAAGATGGTGGAAGCTGTTTCTGTTAAATTCTAGTTAAATTCTATTGGATTTATCTAGTTTTCTTTTACTGTTGTGGATTTTGGCTTTTTATGGCATTAACTGTAAAAATATTGATAAACCTCCTGAGTACACGTGATTATCCTTTGTATGATGTATCCTGACATTGTGGCATTGTTGTGCTTTCACTTCCAATTTTTCATTCTGCAAGCAAAAAAACACATTCTATGATTCTCCTGTACTTAAAAGGTTGGTATCCGTTTTTAAGAAACATTGAACTTGGATAGATCTGCATATTATAGTACAAACAGTAGCCTTTTAGCTCTGTTGCCATGTAGAGGGAAACACAAAAGTTAATGCTGAGAAACACTTGAGTTGATTAGACCTCATTCAATAGTTACTATAAAACTTCATATCTAACGGTCATACAGTATATAGATTGCTGTTGTATAAAGGGCATACAGTATATATCTTGAGTTGTTGTGATCAGGTTTTGTAAAACTCTGATCAGTGTGAATTGAAGATTGATTAATTAGCTTTTCTGTTGTCACATGATGTGTAGTATGCAGTATTATGAACAAAGTCAAGTTAAGTTTCTATAATATTAGCAAACATTAATTTTGTCTTTGACTAAAATGTTGATCCTCATAACTTACTGTACCTGATTAACAACTACTGACTGTATCTAAGACTTTTGAATACCTTCATTTATATTCATATTCTTATCACTAAATGCAAACCATTCAATTTCAAATAAAATGTTGCCCCCAGATTCAGTTTACGAAAGTAATTATAACAGCATTGTTAAACAATATATTATGTCAACAATTTAAATAATCCTGATCACTACACCATGAATATTTTCTAAATATACAAATAAAAAAGCTCATATAAAATTGCTGATAGAATTAAGGTTTGCCAGTATTGTTTTCCAGAAAAGGATAAGGCAAAATAAGTTATTTTTATTCTAAGTATTGCAGTTGTTGAGATGCTGTGTTTTCTACTTTAGAGGGACCAGCAGTGCAGGACAGACAGCAGGAAACTGCTACAATGCAATACATTTAAAAAGGAAATGTTCTGTAAAATAACAATAATAAGGAGATACAATGACAGCATGGGTTGGAAATTGATGAGTGAAATCAAATTTACAGTAAACAACATATAAAATAAAAACCAAAAGCAAAATTAATGTAATTGAAAGATTCATATGTTGAGTATATTGAGTAAATTACTGTAAGGCAAAAACTGTTTTCCTTTCCTGTTTCAAGTAAACCAACTTTAAAATCTACATACTGTACATAATGAACCTTGAACAGGTAACTTTTATAATCAAGAGGTACAATTTGGTTCCTTAAATTGTAGTATAATAAGGGAGCTGGATCATGTTCACAGCATTGGTTCAGTTTTGGTTTGAGTGCTTGATCAGAAGTTCCCGTTACTGTATACATTTATTCCATTCACTGTTTATAAAACACATGAAATTTTGATTTCTCTAAAAAAATAACATTGAAAAACTTTGCACCACAGAAAGAGCTGTGGCATATTCTATAGCATTGCTGATTTATTATACATAATTTTGGGGGGTTTCATTTATTACAGAGCAATATCAGTTGGAATTATTTAGCCACAGTTATTACATTTTCTTATTACTTGAAAAGGATGTGTATAATTTTGTCATTGAATATGTGGCTTAGCATATGTTAGCTTGTTCCAAAGTTAGAGATTGTTGCTGACTTATGTAGTTTTCTTTCTGAACTCAATTCACTTTTGAAGCAATTTAAAATTATAACTGTCATTGGAACATTAGAAAGGATCTCATCCAACCATTTCTTTAAAGAAGCCAGGGTATAGGCCTCAATAGTATGACTGGGTAACTTGTTCCAGGTTCCTACAAGACTGAGTATTGTGTGATGTGTTATATAGAAATGGGATTCAAAGAAGAACATTTCATCACCTCCAAGTCTGAGGTCATGTTTTTCTCACCGGAAAAGAGTGGCTATTTCTCTCCAGGTGAGAGGGGGAACAGCTGTCCCAAGTGGAGGAGTTTAAGTACCTTGGGGTTTTGTTCACATGTGAGGGTACAGAAGATAACAAGATTGACCAGCAGATTGGTTCAGTGGCGGCAGTAATGTGGATGCTGTACCAGACTTTGGTGGTGAAGTGGGAGCCGAGTTGTCAGACTAAACTTTGTGTTTTCCGGTTGATCTACATCCTGATTCACACCCAACAGTATGGTCATAAGCTTTGGGTCGTGACCGAAAGAATGTCATCTGCCGAGAATGGGGTACAAGCGGTGGAAATGAGCCTTTTCCCCAGGGCTGCTGGGCTTAATCTCTGTGACATTGAGCAACTCGGAGTAGAGTCGAGGGGGGACCTTGCAATACAGTCGCTGCTTCTCTGGACTGAGAGGAGCACGTTGAAGTGGTTTGGGCATCTGGTGGGGATGCACCCAGGGGGCACACTGGAGGTGCACCAAGCACAGCCCACTTGGAAGTGACCACAGAGCACACCCAGGACTTTCTGTAGGGATTATATACGTCAGCTGCTCTGGGAGCAATTGGGAATCCCCCAAAAGGAGCTGGAGACTGTTGCTGGGTAAAGGGAAGTCCTGTTTGCCCTGCTCAGCGTTTTACCATCGTGACCCTCACCAGGACTAAGCAGTTAGAAAATGAGATAACAGAACATATCCTTAATATACTCGACAAATACTAATCATCTCTTTTTACTGTTAATTACATTGATGTTTTTTTTGCAATATTATTGTCAATGGATTTTGTTGGCATTGTGTCTAATCTGAGTTGTGTTCCTCTTTTAATGGTGTTATGCTGTAACCAGATGGGAACTGTTTGGATTGAGCAGTTCAAGTGCTAGTTGATATTTAAAAAGCACAGAGAGCAGACATGGATCTCCTTGTATAGCCTAAAGAATAGATTGTGTTTTAGCAGTTACAGAGCTAAGCAAAATAGCATCTGCTGTTTTCCTGTTTTCACACCTTGCATGTCTCCAATCAAAGAGTAAAGTTTATTTCATTGTGACAAAATGTTCAAATTAAATTAGCGAGGCGTATGACTGTTTCATTAGATAGATGACAACAGTTTGATTAGTTTGTGCGCTAACTTCTGTATGAGTGTTTTTCATGAACAATGTTACCATCCAGGTGTCGAGATTTTGCTGAAGTGGGAAAATTCATTATTTGGCATTCAATCAATTATACATTGGCAAACAATTTGAATCCCATGGTAATCGTTAACCACCTTGTTTCCTCATTGGTCCCATTTCAACCAAAACAGGAAGATGAAAGCGAACTGTTCATGATCTGAGAGAGCAGAAAGCACGGTTGTGAATTGTATGCACTGAAAAGTGAAGTAAAGGCTTCTGCTCACATAGTCCATTCTTTTCAAATGTCTGTTTATTTTTTATTTTTAAAGATTTGCAACCCACGCTTTGATCATAAGATATTTCTCAAGCTTTTTTAATTCACTCTGACCCACACTGTCCTGTAATTCCTTTAATATCTTCTAAACAAATAGAGAAGTAAAGTTGAAGAGAAAAGGCTAGTGGATCTGGGATTATTTAGATTAAGAATTCAGTATATGCGTATGTACTGTATGTACTGTAGCAATCTGTTACACGCAAAAGTTGATTCCACACTGAAAAATAATAAGGAGAAATCCAAAGTTTCAACTGTTCAGACTTCTTTCGGTGTTGAAAGGATTCATGCATCACTCTTGTAACCTCTGACTCCTTTACTTGTTCCATTGCAGCCAACACACACACTTCAACCATTTGTTGAAGTGCTGGGTAAACGGTTGTTTATTCAGTAGAAAGTGTTGAAGTGAATTTTTTTTTACTTATACTTTGACATACTGGATTATACTTCATATTTTTGTTGGTGGTTGACATTATGCAAGCTGAGCCAGTGAAAGAAACCATTTCCTGTCAAGTAGGAGTTTTTGGCTATAGTCAATAGCATAAACTGTGCCAAAAAACTATTGACCTGTCCTAGGTACTGCAATCGCAACAAACTGTTCCACCTAAGCATTTTTACCTTACTTTTAAAAAAAAATATACAGTATGTTTTCTGTGAGTACAAAATGTCACCGATCCAAAATGATTTTCTTGATATAGTTGTTTCATTACACCAACAAGCTTTGCAAGCACTCTGAAGGTCATGCAGTTTCAGCACCTTGCATGTGGTCTGTAACCTTTAACCTCTGCCCCCTGTTGTGCTCTGCAGGGAGCTGAAGACAAAGATCGAGAAGGAGGACACCAAGCGGGAGCTGCTGGGTTCCCAGCCCAGCCTTACAGAATCCCACTGCATCCGCTGCCTGCAGCCCTTCAAGTTCCTCGTCAACAGCAAGCGCCAGTGCCTGGACTGCAACCTCTACACCTGCAAGTCCTGCAGTCGCTACAACAAGAGGGAGCAGGGCTGGGTGTGCGACCCCTGCCGTATGGCCAGGTGAGCCAGCCACGTCATCCCAGCAGCAGCGCTTACTGACATGAAGAGCGTAACTCTGCCTTAAGTGTGGGTGAACGTGCTCGATATCAAAGCCAGCCTAATCATGCTCATCTCGTTTCTTGACCCTTTTCTCTGCTAGATCCATCTGGGGGATTCTTCCCTTTCTTATGAAAAAAGCAAGTTCACGTTTCATATTTATTTTAAGATATACAGTTGCTATATATGAATTATATGAATAATGTAATTATTATATGAATATTTAATAATAAGCATATTATTCTTATAATTCATATATGCAGTATATTATATAAATAATCTTCCTGCTTGCGAGTGACTTTTAAAGAAGCAAGGCACTTTGAGTTGGATTTCCAGACTTAAAGTCTGTTTAGTTTAACAAATGGTTTTACATTGAAAATCGAGTGCATTCTGTAATCACCAGGTACAGTTTCCCCCTGTGGTCATCTGCCTCCAGACACATCTGCACTCTGTGCTCGTGGTACTAATAGTTCAGACTCACAGCAGCAGGACCACAGTCACATGGGGCCTCTAATTCTTCTGCTTATAAGGTCTCGTCTTCTTCAGGCTTCAGTTAACCCTGCTTGTCACACTGCAAGCTGTCAGTACCAATATATATTTGAACTAACAATGGGATTGTTTTTATATTATCTGGGGACTCATATAAGCCAATTTAATAGCGTTTCACAAAGGGGTCAGAGATTCAGAACTAATCAGAACTAAAGAGCAATAATGGAAGGATTCCCTTGGCTAATGACAGGTACCAAATAATAATAATAATAATATTCAAAGTAATGGAGTGATCCATCTTTGCATTGGATACGACGACTGGCAAGTGCCTTGATCGCTTGGATCCATATCCGATATGCTGTCAGAATGAGTAAAAGAGCCTTGCCTGTCTGAGTAATGGGAAAAATATGCCTATTTCGCAGCTTCACTTTTTATTTTTACAATTTTTTGTGATTGTTCTATTCCCAGGTTTGCTTTGGGTTGAACATTCCATGATACAGCTGTGAAAAAGAACACGGTGACCTGGTGGCTCTAGGGTTTCATTTACTAGTCATTTAAACATTTCAAATTCAATTCCAGGTTAAACAGATGTGGAAAATGTTTGGTAACTCAGCACCCAGTGGACAGAGATTTCATTACAAAACTGTGGTGAGCCTGGACAAGGCTTTATGACATGTCTTTTGAAAATGTGGTACCAGATTTGTTTGTAACATTTTGGTCTGAAAGCCTGAAGTATGCAGCGCAGCTAATAAATACAGCTGCTGGACACAAGAATGTTTAAAATTTCTCAAACTGGAAGACTAATAAATCTCTGTTTCTAGACATTGTGTAAAGAAGCTGAGTTACTGCCATCTGGTGGAGAGGAGACGTCTTGAAAAATAATTAGTTTAAGGCAGAGTGATTTTTCCATAAGGAATTTACTGCAGGTTTTTATAGTTTCATGCATTTTGTCTGTTTCTGTATTTAATATAGCCATTGTGTACACACAAACATGCTCAAACATGATTACAAAGAGAGAATTAAATCCAGATTGTTCAGCATTCTTTGTTGCTTCCTACTTTTTGCTAGAGTTGTGAAGATGGGTACACTGGACTGGTATCATGAACATGTGAGATCTCGGTTTAAGCGATTTGGCAGTGCCAAGGTAATGCGATCACTGTATAAGAGACTACATGGTGATCAGAGTGCCTCTTCTGATCAAATAGGTATGTATGATATTCAGCCTAACTGTAGAAGCTTCTTAAACTCACAGTACTTACAGTATATCTGAGTGGCACAGGCCAGCCCACAGCTGGTTGCAAAATGTCTTACAGTGAATTATCAAATCTCTGTTGTTCACTTTTCTGTCATACTGTGTGTGCCATAATAAAATAGGATTTTAACAAAAGTAAACTTATCAGAGATGAGCTTAGCTCAAAGACTAAAACAAAGAAATGTGTTACAGTAAATAGTGAGATTAAAGGACTGCTTTACATTGTTAATGTAAAATAATTCAAGTTGCTAAATTGTTTTCTATTAGTCTAATAAATGGACAAGGTTGTTGGTGACAAACTTAAGAGAAAGTAAAATCTTACTCAGTGGTTGAAAATGCAAAAAAGGTGTTATTTGGACATTTTCCCTTTTTCTGAGGTGTTTGGATGGATGGTTATCTCGTCAGATTCTAAACATGAGGCACCACAGTCCAGAGAAATAGCTGCTTTGGTCTTGCCTTTTGTTCAAGTGCTGTATTCAGATATGTATATTATGTTTTCTCTAGGGAACTAAAGGTACAGATGTTTTAAGGAGGAATATGATGAGTGATTTGTGTTTGTTGTTTCATTTTGTGTCACATATTTCCACACTTTGGGAATCCTGTTTGTAGGTTATACTGTATATATAATCACAAGGAGTTAAAAAAGAATTTTAAGATTATTATAGATGTTAAGCTAACATGCAAATAGTGTTATTTACCCCTTGGTTTCTCAGATGTATTAACCAGAATTCTTGTAGTCTTTAGTTTAATTCCTCTCACTGTAATTGTGCTGTTTATCTTGAAATACAGTATGTACTGCTATAGAAAGTAACATACTGTACAGCACTAAGTTTATTTTGTGATCTCTCACAAAATCTCACAAAATAAAAGTTTTTTATAAAAGATAGCTTTACAAACCTTTACCTTTACCTTGTTTATAATACAATACCTTTTAATGCCAACAGATGTCAGTGTTATGTAGTCATTCTAATTTTGAAGAAGTACAGTATGATAACTTTGGAATTATTTTTAAATAATTAAAATACCATTTGTCTTTAGCATAGTATGAATACTTCACCTACACTTGGCTTTAGTTGTTATGCAGTGATCACTTCATTTTTCAGGGGTACAATTATTGATTTTTTCTGCTTCTCATCATAGGCCCCCGTGATGATGACACATACAGCATGCCTGATATACGAAGTGAGTATGGAACAAGTCACTTGAGGCTGTCTTCTGTTGTTGTAACATTATTATGCCCAGTCTCTCCCTGAGCACTGCTCTGAGCTTATCAATTTTCAATTTATTGGACTGTACCATAGTGGACATATTTTGAATCTAATTTATATCAGATGTAGTATAGTGTTTCAGAATTCATGTAAACATTTATTGATTAGACATTGAACACAATTTAAAAAAAATGATAAAATTAAGCCGATAATCTTAAAAAGAAAATAAATGCTGGCATGATTTTGACACAAAGCAAAGAAAAGCACACTGACATTTTTTAGAGAGGTAAATGTTAATGTCTGGAAAGAATTCTAAATATTTCCTTGCCTGGTCTAGCTTCAAGCTGTTTTTTCAAGTGCAGTAAATCCAGACCTTTTAACAGATATTTAAATGTATGTATATACTGTAAACCTGACATTGTGAGGAAACTTTTTTGCTGAAAGTACTCCTGTTTTCTTAATGTTCTGAGGTGTGTATCAGTTCACCTGTAGCTGTGCAAAGCATTCGTCAGGCATGGTCTCCTGCAATTAGATCAGATGACTCTTAATCAGAATAATTATGAAAGCCCTTGTGTTTTGCCCCTAGCTAGGGTATTAGTACTTGCAGTACAGGTACCATGCATCTTAAAGTACCACTTGCATGACTATCGTGTAGAGAGTATCATTAGAGGATTTCTTCCCTAATTCGCAGAACATTAAGAACGTGGGATAGTGTGAAATAAATAGGTTTGCAAGACCAGTGTTGTGTATCTATGCCTGTGACCTGAGTGAGCAGGAGTTTTACAGAGGGTACACTGCAGATCTCTAACCTGTGGGCAGAAGCTCTGACCCCCTACTCTCCATATTTACTTCACCTTTGAGAACACTCAGCAACAGTAACAAAGGCTGGTGACAAAATACAACTGAAAAGGGCTCTAAAACCCAGAACATACTGTATGTTTGCAGTTTGATTAATATTGCTGCTGTCGAATTACCTGGTGAGCAGTAACAATGAGCAGTAACACAGCACTTATTCACAATCTGAATTTTAAAAGACTTTATAATTTTTCTTAATAAGTGTTCCAGTTGTTTAGTACAGTAAATGAGTGGCAAAAAGAACTGTGGTACTTTTCCACACAGCAGGGCTTAATAAAACATTCTTCAGCACTTTATTAGAATTCTACTTAAAATGGGCTTTCTAGTTCCTTGAACACACAGTTCGTGCTTCCAAATGTCTGATGGATATTTTGTGATGCCCACTGGGGAAGATAAGGACGGAATTGCATGGAATGATTAGTGAAAGACTGTGAGTGTTCAGACACAGGAAAGGAGTTCAACTGCAGCAGGAGCTCTGTCCCATTATCCTCCATGCGTAACTTATTTGCACGAAGAATTTGTTACCAAACAGACCACAAATGCACAGAATACATGAAGTAACCTTTCAGTATTTAATAGGTGCTGTTCCATTCTCACTCTGTTTCCTCAGATGTCTATGATGGACGGGAAGAAGATGAAGGAACCATTGATGCCTCAGAGGCACAGCGCTACAAACTGGTAAAAACAAACTCTTATTCACAGACATCTGAGCCTTGGGTGTATGTGAAGGAGCTGTCAACAGTAACCACACAGTCACCCATTATTTTGTTTTGAATAGATTTGGAGGGTTACTTAGGCAAGCCAGAAAAAGTACAAGGTGGACCAATATGAAAAACACTATCCATTCAGCTAAACTGGCACTATAGAATCCATTAGTCATCTTAATAGTCTGATGAAGGAAATTCATCCCTGGAGTGATGGAAAGCAGAAGATGTAAAATGAAAATTCCACAGCCATGCCAATATTTTCTCATCACAGTTCTCACCAAGACAACAATAAAAGTAATAATTCTTAGAAATAGTTACAATTTTTAAATGTATTCATTTTAATTTAACACAAAGATTTATGTGTACTTTGACATCCGAAATAATATACCAAATAAGCAGTAGAAACCTTTTCTCTGTGTTATTCTTGATCTTACCCAATGCAATGCAGTTCTAAGGCATACACAATTTCTACAGCATTAGTGTCTGAAAACATTGGCGAGTACATATGTGTAAGCATTGGTTTTCTGAAGGGGTACTTGTGCACATGTATGATTTCTCTGTTGTTTTATATTGTTTGTCTTAATGCTTTTGCCATAATAGCTGTTTTTTGTTTGCATGTTTCATGGTTGGATGTTCCCTCATAGTTCTCAGAGATGTCACTTTCGTTGTCCAGGATGAAGTCTTATTCCTTTAGTTTGTGTTATTTCGCTCGTGCGAGATTGTGAGACTAAAAATGTGAGACTAACATTTTTTATTAAAATATCATCAATAACACCTTTTGTGAAAACAAACATTGCATTCCATCTGCAGTAGTATAATACAGATCCACTCCAGAAACATCATAGACGATGTTTTAAACATGTGAAAGGTTTGTTGAAGAATTCTTAAGTAGCGACATTTCTAATTATCTTTTAAGTTGTGTAGATAGAAGTGTCCAGAAGCATGAAAAGTGGACAGCATCATTGGAAAGAACCAACTTTTATTAGTTTAATTTATTTAATTATTTTTATTGACTTTCTGTATTTTTGAATGTGCAAAGTCCCATGCAGATCAACTCACTATGTGAGGGATATCTTGAATGTTAAATTAATCTTAAATGTTAAGATTGACGCAAAATCCTTTCCTTAAATTTCTGGTTTCTTTACCTGCCAAATTTGAGGCTTAACTCTAACAAATTCTCTTCCAATTTTAGAGCTGTTCAAACCTGATTCTCAAGAGCATCACTTCATTCACTCTGGGTTCCATACAAGTGAAATGTTCTAGAAAAAGCAGAATGTATTTCCTTAAATTAAAACAAAATACCCCAAAGACACCAGGTTTACAAAAAAAACTCAGGCTTGGCACATTTAGATGACCTTTTCTAGATATAGTTTTCCAAGTATTATAGTTAATTTAAATTGAACATTTGGACTGTTGAAAATTTAAATCAATTATAATTTAAAATTAATGTGGTAGAGTTACTTTGACTCTTGAGCAACAGTGTTTGATCACTCAGCAATCATTTTCTTTTCATGAGGCAGGCTTTCTCTTTTGATTCCAAATGATTGTCTTTGTGTTTCGATGCCTTTAAGATTCGAAAGACCAAACGTCTCCTCTCGGTTCACCCTCTTGATTTTGATCTGGACTCTGAGTACTCCACTCAGTCTCGACGCCAATCTCTGCAGGTACTGGGGTGTTTGGCTCCATCTTTCTCTCTCATTAGAGCCTCCGAACAGTGTTCACACAGCTCTTGAACAGTGAGTTCTTCAAACTGATTCACTCTGGAGAGGATGTGGCACATACTGTATCTTCTCCATCCTGTGGGCTTAGAAAGAAATAAGAGAAGTCCATATAAAATTACGCATTTCGTGCATTGATAAATTAAAGACAGACTTCTGCTTAAGGTGGAAAGAATCTTTGAAATTTTAAGTAGTCGGGAAAAGGCAGGTGCCCTGCATATGTGTATTGGGACTTAAATGTTCACAATTCAAAAGCTTGCGTAGTTCAACAAGATCTTGGTTTTGTTATACAAAGGTTCACAAATATGAATAATCATGTTTGTGAAAACATACATTTGTCACTTTGTGTTCTTTAACTTCAAAGGCTACAACAAAGTAGATTTCAGGATTTTTTACTCTGGGGTTATTTCTGTTGAAATCTGAATCTGAACTGTAGTTTTGAGTTTGGGTCCTGTAGGAGAGCTTCTGAGTGATTCTTGCTGATCAGTGCAGAACCTTTGCAAATCTAAGATTTGCAATTCTTGTGTCAATTGTTTAACATTAGGATTTGACCAACAAATACTTGTCACATTGTGAGAAAATCAAGCTATTATACAGTACAAGAATGAGCACTTTTAATGCTGCTGTTTTCTTAACTTAAAAAGGAACAGTCACTATCTCGTAAGACCATTTTGGATTTAGTTCATCAATACATGCTTAGCTTTCTATGTATATAGCAACTTAACGAATTATACACTTAATACAATATGTTATAGATGAATTAACTCATTTATCCTTTGATAATACATTGTATCATCTTGAAAAATTCATATTATTCAGAACAACAATAAGGGGTATTCGTTTTTAGGGAGAACCGTACAGTATTCATGCCGTTCCTTTACAAAGTTAACCTTTTGAATTGCAGTGTATAATTGAATCACAATGCCTTTCCCATGTTTTTCTATTTTGAATATATTGTTTTAAATTAGTATTCATCAAGACTGTGCTCAATCCTGCTTGCCTCTGCTTTACTGATTTTTCTTTAGTACAGTGTGCTTTGTTTGTTTGTCTTTGTATACCAGTGTAGTTCATTTCTGTACAGTAAATGTTTTTTTACACATATAAAATACATAAGATGTAAAGTGACACATTAGAGGATGGAATGTCTTGTTAATTTGTTGATTTTTAACATTTTAATGTTGAATGTCAAACATGATAAGGATTTGTGTTTGTCTTTGTTTGTTAGATCATCCCTTCATTATTGAAACGCAGAGGGTCTTTATGGATATTGCCATGGTGATAAATGTAGTTTCAGAAAGCTGTAGCATGACTCAATCTGTTCATTTTATCTGTTTGCTATCATAGACGATATAAGGTTTTACATTCTCGAAAATGTCATGTGAATTTCTGTTTTCTTCATGTTTTCCAGAGTTGTTATTCATGTCATGGCAGATTGCTAATTTGTCATGCAGCCCTCTTCCCCTCAGGTGTCATGTACACTTTTTGTATGTCCTAAGACATTGATTTTTTTCCACTCATAATCACCAATTACTTAAACAAACATGGTATTTTAAAGTCATAAAGGAGAGTGTCATTGATTGGTGCATGTACCAGTTTATTATCTGGCTTAAGATGGAGGAGCAGAAGACAGATGTCAGTGGCATGTATAGGGACAATTTTAATTGGTTAATTAGTTCCAACAGATGTCCATTCCCTATGGCATTTTGAGAGGGTTCAAAAGAAGGTACTGCATTTTAAAATATTTGTATTAAGTAGAACCCACTCAGTCTATGGCATTGAGTGCTGTGCCATTTGTTACCAATTACCAAGATGCATGGTGTTAATCTTTAGTCTACACTATAACATTTTGAACTCAGATACAAAAGAATAAATATTCCCTAATTATACAAGTGAAAGTGCACACCTATAACAACTGCAATTTATTGCAGAGATTGCGCACAGGTGATAGTGTAATCACATTGAATGAAAACAGTTTAGGCTGGATACTTTTTAGCTCTGGACACTCCTAACACAAGGCTTTTCAGGTTACACCCTGTGCTCCTTGGGTAGTATTGGAATGATTTTGAAAGGTATGGATAGCCTTTTTCTTTAGCAGTGTGACCCAGTTAAGTTTACATTTGCGATCTGTACGCTCACAAACACCACACACTCTTCATAATTTGACCAACATTGTTAACATCAGAACAAGAGAGGGTAATTACACATTTACACATTTATTGCAAATATCTGCTTGCAGAGAAACACAAAATTATATTACTCTCAGAATAGCCCTTTTGAGGCATGTTGTTTATCAGTTCTATTCTATGATGTGACAAATGTGCTGCCACAGATAAACACATCTGCTAGGAGGAAAATATGGCAGTAAATGGACCAGCACAATAGCTGGTTGTCCATCCACCTTTACAGCAGTGGCTGGTGACTTGTAGTACTAGGTAGTGTGCTTTGGTTGTCTGTGGGTGACCGTGGCCTTGTTGGCCCCTGTCATTTTCGTAGCACTCCGGCGGGGTGGAGGGGGTGACACGGCGGGAGTCAATGATTGCTGAGGCCGATATCGCCTCAGTCTTCCAGCAGATTCTAGAGGAACAGGGTCAGCGAGGGGATGATCCTGAGCAGGAGTTCAGCACAGAGCTGCACCTTCGCATCAACTCTCGCAAGAAGAGTCTGGAGAAGTCCTCACGCTCAGGTGAGATGCCACCAAACAACGGGTGCAACCCAGTAATTGACTTTTCTCGGGTTGTATTTGTGCCAACAAGTTTACAATTCCAGAGCTCAGACATGGTTTAATAATGCAAGAATGATCCAGCAAATATTGTACTTAATACTTGGGCGTTAACTTGCCTGGGTGAGAAAATCATAGCACTGTCACAGCCATTCTCATTTTTCAGGAATGAACCAGGGAGGCAGCTGCAAAGGTGAAGTTGGGTGGAGGGAGGGGTTCTAGGATAGAAGTGCACTTCCAGAGTTTTTATGCAAAGGAGAGCAAAAGTGTGAGATAAGAGTTTGACCTCCTCCCAAACATCTGTTCAATAACAACATTAATAATGATAATAATTCAAACAATAATAATAATAATAATAATAATAATAATACCCTTCATTTATACAGTGCTTCTTATCCCATAGGGATGCAAATACTGCCTTAATTGCTTATGTTATTGCAAAATCCATTTGTAAATTAAAGTATTCTTAATTTCACAATGTTTTGGTTCTCAGAAATGTAATACACCCTTTTGTTGGCATCATCTCTAGTTGCACAGTGTTACATAATGTGGCAGGTACATGACTGAGGTGAAATTCCTAAAGAGTTAAAAGATTGTTTCCATACCTTACACTTCCATTAACCGGTCAGCCTATGTCTTTGAACATGTAGCTAGAGCACAAATTTTAGAGTCTGTTCTTGAAAATTGATGACATTATGGTTAATATTTTATTTTTGGGTGAAAAAAGGCATCCTGTTCATGTACAAGGTTTGCAATTTCTTTACATTGTGCAGAGATAAAGCAATTTGGTGAGGTTTTTGTCTGCCTTAACAGAAGTATAAAATATATGTTTTTTTTCTTCAGATTGATGGGATCATATTTTTTTGGTGAGCAGAATAAAGCATAAAAACAGATCAATTTTAAAATACATTTCAAGAATGAGATCATTACATTGATAATATGTTATCTTTTCAAACAATGAGGATAATACTTTTCTTTTCAAATCAAACCTTATCCTCTTCTAGCTTGGATGAAATTGTATAGACTGTCCTAAGAAAACTGAATGTCATAGGAAAGTGGTCTTTAATGGCCTTGGTCACTTAATAGTGTTTCACTGTAGATGGACAGCTCCTCTGGGGATCAATTGGGTAGCTGGTATTTTATCTCTTGGCCGGAGCGACCATATCCATTCTGAGGTGCTTTAAGAGGTCCAACATATCTGAGCTGTATTAAGATTTGCACAGTAACTTGTGTAAAACACAAATACTTTTTTTCAAAACTAGGTTCTCACTCAGGTCTTTGTTTGAAAACATTAGTGCTTGTCTGGAGAACCATAGAGAGCATTTCATTTTTGCTTTTTTAATTTATATTTTCATTTTTAGCTTACATTTTTCTTTAGCATTTTTTGCCAGGACATCCACACTCGCGGCTCAGCACTTCCTGCAGTCTCTGCGAAGTGGCGATGCCTTAATATGTTTTTTATCTGCTCCTGATCCGTAGTACATCGCACAATCTCTGTCTTCTTCCTCTCCTGCTTTTCATTTTCTCTCTCCTTACCTGTCCTACTCCCTCCCTGTTGACCTCACTTTTGCTCTCGGTTTCCTCACTGCCTCTCTGCTCCTCAGACGAGGGCCACTACACTGAGCAGCGAATGATCCGCACGCGCTCCTCTCCCAAGGGCAGTCCGTCGGGCACCTTCAATGGGGCCCAGCGCTCACGCTACTATGCTGACATGGACACATCAGAGGATGAGCCCGAAGCTGTACCTCGCTTCCCCCTGTACCAGAGCCACCTGCCACCCCGTCGTCGAAGCCGCGCCTCCTCCCAGGAGAACGTGCATCACGGTGCCCCGCAGGTATAGCAACGTCAGCCACCGTGTTCTCTTGAGTCCAGCTGGAAACAGCACGCAGAAAGCAAGAGTATCACAGGAAAAACACCCATTTCTCTTTGAGCAGACACTGAAAAAGCGAGGCACGGGAGGGAGATAGACCCTCCAATTTCTTTTGTAATCTAGGATCAACAGTTCAGTCTTTTGGAAGCAAAAGAAACATGGGTCATCCCATTCAAGCTGACAGCATTTTTCTCCTAATTGCAGTTTGATCAATGCTTTGCCTAATTATTTGCTACTGGAGCTATTCTCCAAAGAGAACTGTCATATAAAGGATGGCCATTGACTTTGATTGGCTTTTGCACTACACAAGTGGCATGTCTCTCCAAGGTAGTATTAATGTAAATTGGCCAGGCGGTCACTACCAGTACGGCTAGTTAACTCTGTCACACCCAAGGTTTACTTGACACTAAAAAGATCATTAAGTCCTTTTGGCTCAAAGGGATAAAGATGGAAAATTCAAAAAGGTTTAGGACAGAATTCAAGACTGAGAAAACACCTGGCAGATAACCTTTAATGCATACAAATGCAGAGTGTTACTTGCACGTAGCAAATACATATAGTATAAATATAAGACAGGAAATGCTGGTCTTGAAGAAGATATTTATGAAAAAGGAGTTTATATGATGGCATCATTTATATCTTCTATACAATGTCTTATGCAATAAAAAGTCTCACGTATTTTAAGGATATACATTAAAAACGGAACTTTAATAAAGGGAAGTTATGTTAGAACTACAATAAGCAATAATAAAAACACATTTAGGACAATGTGTAAAAAATTGATCACCACATTACAAATAATGCTGTGGCTCTAGAATCAGTACAGAGCAGGGAGATAAGATCATATGGTGAAAGGAGTGCACTAAGTGAGAGACTAAATACTAACCAAATAATAAACTAAAACAGTACACAAGTGGAAAATGTGAACAGAGGCACCTTTTTACAAAGAGGGTCATGAAGTCTTGAATTAGCTAACCAGCCATGTTGTTGAATGAGATCGTTGGATCATTTAGCTATTAACAAACAAACAGACTACAAGGGCTTGAAGAGCTCATCTGCGCAAAAGAAAAATAAACCATTAAAACTGAAATTTCAGTGTATTTTAAAGTTATATTGTATAATACATTTGTGGGTAGTCTGGGAGGTACAGTAACAGCTCTATAATGATGATATTTTTATATCACTGTACCTAATGAGAAAAAATTGATTTTTGAAAATCATGGCCACACGTCTTATTAATTCTACATGTAAGAGTGGTGAGTGAGGAAAGGAGCACACCTTACAGCTGGAATACATGTAGGCCTATTTCATATTTCTAGGAAATCAAAACTTGAACATAGAACTTTATAGTTTGACAACGTGTTAATGAAAGAAGAAGACTGCATTTCCCTCCGGTCTTATTTGTTGGATTCAGGATTGTGACTGTTTATGTGTTAGTTTGCACAGATTCTTCTCAATCAATTTTTATTTGTATAGCAACCAATAATTCTGCTCCTGGTATTATACATTTTCAACAGGTTGGAGCTATCTGAATTAGAAATAGTGGGCAATGCTGAATAAAAGATGGATTTTAAGACAGGAAGGTGGCATTTTTCATTACCAGGCATTAAAGGAGAACCAAAAGCCCCTTTAGTTTTGAAAACAACAGCAGCGGGGGCAGCGCCTTGGTTTGGAGGTTCATGCTTTTGTCTTGCAGTTCTTGGGTTCTGGGTTTGTTTGTGGTTTGGGGTGCCTTCTGTGGGTAGCTTGTGCTTTCCTCTTATGGGTTTTCTCCAGCTGCTCTGGTTTCTTCCCACAGTCCAACAAAATACTGCCCAGGGTAATTACTGTAGGCTTCCCCGTATCTACATGTACAGTACTGTATGTGTGTCTGTATCATGCAATAGACAGGCCCTGTCCATGGAAAAACAGCAAAAACTAGATTATTTAATCTCCTTTCAAAGGTGTGCAGGGAATTGCTGATTCATTCTGTGGAATGAATACTGAATAACTGAAGGAACTATGCTATGAACTTTTCTTTCTTTCCATTTTAGTTACATACAGTACATCAAAACTTTATTTCAGTGATATTAAACCACACTGAACATGACAATTTATTTACAGTACTTCCACTTTTCTTTTTGTAATGCAGGACTATTGTTTTCAGAATTTCCGTAACTACTACATTCAAAAGGGGGAAAAAAATCTCTTGATATCTAATCTCCAGTGTCTATGCTGGCAGAGTAAGGTCTCCTATACTGTATTTGTTGAGGCTTCAGCTCACACACTGCAGCTGTGTGTCTGTTTGCTTTTCAACAGATATGACCTAGAGGTATTTCCCAATTGAGTATTTAAACTGCAGCTGTCTTTATTAGTCCCCTACTTATATCTGTGTAAGACCCTCAGGGACACTTTCTCTCCTTCACAACATGTGACCAAACCCAAATAAAATCAATACAGACTGATGCAGAAAACAAATGACAATTGATTAGCTAAACATCAAGACACCATATGTTGTCATCCTCTGGAGTTATATTAGTATGGTAAAAAATGAGAAACACTACAGCAGTGATTAGGGAGCAGTTGTATTGCACAGTCCTTAAATTCTACTTTAGCAGCACTTGCACACAGATCAGGTCCATTTGAACAGGGATCATTTTCCTGGATTCTTCTCTATATTAACAAATTATGCACCTGCTGAAATAGAAGTACACATATGATAATATGATTAATGATCTGATTTATATAAGCTTAATTTGTTGGTTTAGTTACGGTATATATTCTAACAAAGATATATATATAACACAAATATCCCACCATCTAATAATAACAGCATTCTGGAAGGCCTAATAAGACTAAATAATAGCATGCAGTATAAACATAAAATTGTAATAATACCTGGATTTTGTTATAACTATATTTTCTATATATTTAATTTTGAGTATTTTAAATTAACAGATAAGGTGCAATGCAAGCATATCATTCTCTCCCGCGGCTTGTTTCTATATTTCAGTCTGGGGTCTTTTGTCTGCTGTTCTCTATTTCTCTCTTTCTTGTTTATTGTTGGTGGCCTGGGGTCTAGATCACTGAGCTGAACAAGCGTATGTCTGCTATTGAAAGTCTGCTCAGCCGACTGGAACAGAAAATCACACTGCCAGTTGACCAGGTAAATACAGAGATCATCTCCAGATATTTGTATAAAGAAAAATGTTTAATTTGCCTTTATATTTCAGAAGTACAAAGCTATCTTAAAGCACTGGTAAAAGGAAGGGTGCACAGTTAATATTTCAATATTCACCTGAAGGTTTCATATTTGACTGGGATTTTTTATTGTTTCCTGTAATTGATAAAGGAATTTTAGAGCTATGAAAAATATTACTTTGAGTGTCTATTACTGTGAGCACCATTGTGTCAGGCTGTAGTGTCATCTGTTTACTGAGATGTTGACATTTGACATTGTCTTACCTTTAACAGCAAATACTGACAGTAAGAGAGCCTCCTTCCATTAAACACACATTTAACGTACAATGAACAGTATTATAACTATTGTATTTTGATGCCTCCTGAATGTTTCAGTTCATGTACCATAAAAGAGGAGAAACACGGATGAGGATGATTGTCTTTAAGTAGTACTTTATGAAAAATCTATATTGAAACGAATGTAAATTTAAAGACAGGTAAGTTCTGATGAATTCATAGCTTGACTGCCTGCTTGACTGTTTAAAACAAAACCCTTGAGTTTTTCTTTGGGGTTATTAAATATGCACATTGGAAGAGGCAATTCAGGCCACATTGTTTGTATTTTAATTACTGTGAAAATGGAAAACAATGTAGCGTGAATGTAAAAGCGTGTCCCACTCATTTTGTGCCGTGCCACCCATGGGCTGTTGCATTGTGCTTCAGAGCACATGTATTAACTCTGCCTTGGTGTTCATCTCTCTGAATCATATGACTATGGAAATGTAGATCTGACTAGCAAGTGGTAAATGATTATCTGAGTGACAACTATCCATATAAAGACCTGAAACCAGCTTGGGTACAAGCATTTTATAAAAGGAGTCCCTTTTAAAGATAAAGAGCAACTTATCAATACAGGACCCCTAATAATATTATCCTCCTCATTGGAAAAAGCATTCCCCTCAATAAATATGGTCACCTACAGTACATTGTGAAGTAACAAAGGGGATATGTCACATGAGGTGGAAAAAAAAATGCAACACATTTCTAACATATTTCTAAGTCCTAACAATAGTTCTTGTTTGAAAATTAGAACATCTTTCTGGCCATCAGTACTGATGGAACTAAGTACAGTATCTTCCTTTTTAATTCTCTTAAATGCAGATTTAACAGTTGTGTGTAACTGCAAAGCAATTACAGCAATTTGCCTGTGCTCATTGATATTGGCTTACTTTATCACTAAAGGTCTTTGTTGCTTTCTCTAACAAAGCCACAAGAGTGGACCGTAATCACTCATATGGTAGTTACACCATCAGTCTATTTATGGTGCATAAGGGCATCTAATGTTCATTACAAAAACTGATAAACCCCACATGTGCTGTTTCACATTTATTTGGTGGCTGACAATCACCATCAAAAGACAAAAGACAGGATATAGACTGTTAGATAAAGCAGGATTTGGAGCAGCATTGATTAAGCATTATACACAGAAAAGTGGTAGACACAGATATACTGGAAATTGGGTTTCTTCCTGTGCGGATAGGCTTTCCTTAAGCATACGTTAGATGTGAGAACAAATTAAGGCTTGCTGTCATAATAGAGATGGATATATCCTCCCAAAAATAATTTATTATTGACAAAGAAAGTGTGCAAGAGAGAGTATCATGCTTTGTGCCTGTTGCTTGCACAACTGTCTGTCAAGGTCCCTGTGAATGTGAATTGTACGCAGCAGTTAGAAATTAGATGAATGGATGAAAGTTGACCTCACTCAACAGTAAAGATGTTCTTGTGTTAAATGGGATTCCTTCCCCAATTATCACACTTATACCCCCTTATCAGTTTTCCTGTGCTGGTTTGGGTACTCTTTGCCTTCTATGACATGTTCTGTCCCTCATAGATTTGGTTTCATGGTCTCTCTGGACTAGTCTGCTGATTGTTGAAGCAGAACATCTCATTCTGTAGACAAATCCTTGATCTTCTTCAATTACTAATGGCAGCCAAGTCATCTACATTTCTCAAGGGGAGAGTGGCTGCGTCTTTGGCTAGTCACTATTTAAAATTGCATTTTGTTTCCAATGAGCTCTTGATTTGAGACTTGGACTATTGTAAATTCATTGTCAGTACAGTCACTTTAGGAAACGCTTATAATGTATCAGTGTTATAAGTGTTTTGTTGTTTGAGTATAAAGCTAATTTTCATCTAAAGGACTGAGGTCTGGACCTTTCAGAAAATGAGCTGTTTAGAAGTGGTGGTAGTGGTAGGGATTTGGGAGAGTATGACCTAGTTCAATTAAGATGGAAATGAATATCAAACATTTGGACTGTGCAGTCTCTTGATAATTGTCTTTTTTATTTAGCTTTGGTATTATATGCAAGACTTAATCAGGTTTCATCCAGCAGAACCCACTCGAATCTGTGACATGATTTCAATATTAAACAAATTCATTTTTTTTTTTGAATTCCCCTGATGGTCTCACAATTACGCAAAGATTCACTGGAGTGCCTACTGTGGTTATTTAGAAACATATTTTATTAAATGAGTCACAATTTATCCATAAGTCATCAGAGAGCACCAACATTTAATGATAAGAAAAAGAACAATTTAAATGGCACAGTTTTAAAAGTGACATTATCAGAGTTTCTTCTCTTTTTATATTATAGCTGTCTATTTAAAGCTCTGTAGAATTCTATATGGGCATTCCAAGATCGTTGTTTAATGTTCAGATTAGCAAAAATGTAATTCATAGTTATTAATATATATTAAAGTGTATACAATTAATTATATATTTAAGACAGTGGTAAAGTCAGATTTTTCAGAAAACATTTTCTTTTAACAGTTTGAAGTCTGGTTGCTACATGAAAGGTAGAAAAGATACTACCAGAAAGTAAAAGACAAAAAAAGTGCTGAACAGTACTGTCTTTTTATGTTTATTATTGTGACAGGTCTTCACATATTCACATAAAACTCACATACTGTATTAACCACTTTATTGCGTTTTACTTTTTTTAGCAAGCAGGGTGTCAAGAAATATCAGAAAAAATCTTTTAAAGTATTAATACAATGTGATAGACTGGTCCACGTCAAGCATGATTGAAGATGATTAGATAAAGTGTATTACACTATGGGAGTTCACAGAACTTCTTCCAAATTCATTTCTGTCTTGCAGTGTGATAGTGAGCAGTACTTACTGTATACTCACTGTCGCAACTCAACCAAGAATCAGTTTTTATTGACTGATAATGGCAAGTGAGACTGGGTCTCTCAAGCGTTGCTTGTATGACAGTGCAATCAATTCGGCACGCACAAGAACAACACCTCACCCAGGGCACTGCTATGTTCCCACAGCTGGTGGCTGTGCCTGGAGGCCAGTCAGTAGTGGATTTGGAGGAGGAGAAGCTGAGGAAGAAGTTGGGGGAGCTGACAGGGAACATCAGCGACAAGGGGCTCTCCTCTGATGAAGATGAGGTCAAGAAGAGCAGCTTTGCCCAGGAATCACTGCTGGGAAGGGCCCGGCACCAAGATGCACTGGAGAAGAACGCACCACCTACAGAGGCAGTGATGAGCTCCTCCAGTGATGATCTCCCCACCGAAGCCCAGAAGGTGAGCTTCTGTTCACTGTATTTTCCTTAAGATGGCCCTTTTAGAAATTCTACAAAACCAGGTTTTTTGGAAGGTACTGTATATATCTTTATTTAATATATTTTCTTTGTATATATTGTTTGTTTTTTTTTCTAAGTTGAAGGAAAAAATATTAGGGAATGATGTCAGCTCTCATTCTCGCCTCTCAGTATCATCCATCCCTCCATCCGTTTGCCACATTTATCCAGCCTAGGCCCTGGGAGAGCCGGAGCCTATCCCGGCAAGCAATGGATGCAAGGTGGGATACACACACACTAGGGCCAGTTTTCCCAGAACCTAATTAACTAACCAGTATATCTTTGGACTGTCTGAGGAAACTGGATCACCCGGCTAAAATCCATGAGAACATACAAATTCCACATAGATGGCACCCCAGGTCCGGAATTGAAGCCAGGGTCCCAGCGCTACCCGGCAGCGATGTGCCACCATGCTGCCTTTTTCAGTAGCATTAAATTGAAAAAAAATATATTGTGTGCAAAAGAGGATTTCGTATCTGTCTACATTTTCAAGGAAATATAATTAATTCAAAAAGAGGTTGCTGTCAAAGAATGAAAACTACTGATAGGCCATTTTTAGCACAGTACTATATGTGTAACTGAGATCTTATGGTTCCTTATGAAATCTTATGATTGTGATAAAAATAGTGTGTACTGTAGGCACAGAGGGTTAAATTTTTGTGCTATATTTTTCACATGACCCTATTTTTTCATTTGTAAAAAATTGTATTTATTTGTTAAAGTCTGGGAAGAGCTGTTATTATGGGACAAAAATGAAATTCTAGGATATTTGGCTTTAGACACAGTTTGTGCAAATCGCACAAAGAGATAGAGCTCTTGGCTTGTCTATGAAACAACGGACAGGAATATTGGAGCCAGTCCATTAGTACTCTTGTAAAAGGTTAGCTTCACTAATGGGTACTTTGTTGTCATTGAGTGCATGGTCTCTTCTTCATGTGTAAAAACTAAAAGGTACCAGTCATGTAAATGCTATCCTTTTCTGTGCCATGAAGGTTAAGGTTTCCTGCATTTAGTTTTACATATCTTTTCCCTTAATTTAGAAGTAGAAGCTGTGTGATTGTGTCTGAGTGGACACATCTGTCACATTCTGTGTTTTGATAAAAAAGTTAGAGTTGGAAATCTGGTGACTGGCTCAACATACTGTACTTCTAATTCTCTGCGCACCGTACCAAAACTGACTTTTCTTTATCATCACTATTCTTATTATCCTAAATATGCACTTGATCATAGTGAGCAAAAAGTAAACCAATGTTCCTGTGTAACACAGATCCTTTCACCTGTGCGAAAAGCAATGCAATGTGAAGGTTAGCAAGAATTTAAAATTGGACATGATAATTATTTAAAAAACTGGGATGAAACCATGGACTCCTGGAGATAGTCAGGTTTAGGAGGATTCTCCTCCACTCTTCTCTCAGCCTTTGCGAATGAGCTCAGACTTCAGACGAAGAAGATGTGATCAGTTGGCCATACTGGACGAACGGTTCACTGGACTCCTTCTTCACAAAGGAAATAGCTCTTGGGGAGGATCAGGGTTACAAATTCATCAAAATAAAGTTTGGAACTTCATCAGCATCAACTGCCATCAACATTTTTATCTGTAGTCTCCTGCTAACCTAAAGTCTCTGGTAGGGAATCTGGCTGATGCCAGTCATCTGCGAGATAAGTCTGTGTCCATTGTAAGACTTTCTACCTTCTATTTTCTGAATGCTAAATTTGCCTTCTACTTGGCAGATTAGTTTTAAAATGAGACCCCATTTCCTCAAAAGCCATATTCCTTTTTCAGTTCTTTGAAAATTAACAATTTTAATTTCTTGGCACAGATGTAACTGCCCACTTATACATGTACCATAGTTTTATGCACTGTATGATATTCATAAGACTTCCTACAGTATATGCAAACTGTCATCTTTTCTGATGTTTAAAATAATCTTACAGTGTCAGAAGGTTACAGGGCTGGCAATGGACTGGCGCCCTCTCCAGGCTTTACCCTGCCTTGCACTCATTGCTTGCTGGGTAGGCTCCGGCTTCCAGCAGCACCGTACGGTATAAAGCGGTTTGCTAAATAACATGACATGACAGAAGGTTACATAAAAGTTTTTACACGTATATAATATTGTACGTGCCATGGAATGGCAGGAAAGCAAAAAAGACCCTATGCATAGCGGCAAAACAGGGGTTAGCCTGAGCTCAGCAGGTCAGATGATATCGGGAAGAAACCTATGCCCTCAGGCCACGGAGGAGACGACGTGGTGCTAGGCGGGTCTCAAGACATCTGGACCCTCAATGCTGAGCGAGGAGGTAAGGATGACCCGGAAATATATAGCCCCAAACAAAGACACACCGGAAGGACAAGAAAAGCACAAGGAAACTAGAAACGGCAGAGTAGGAGCGCCCTCTAGCTGTAGAGATCGTGACAGTACCCCCCCCCCCCCTTCATGGGCAGCTCCTGATGGCCAAAAAACAAATGAGCTGCACACCACTGGGGGAAGGAAAAACCTAATTTAACTGAAAGGAAACCTCTGGGAGTCCACGGCTGAGAGCTACCCCCTCCTCCAGTGTAAAAACCTTTATTGGGTAGAGGAAGGGAGGGCCGGGCGGTGCTCTGGTGAGCGAGACAAAAAAAACACGAACAAAAGCACACACAACAAAAATAAACCTGGGAGACCAGGGCAACATACCACACACAACAGATAGGAACCAAGAGTCCAGGGAAACAGGGGTCAGGGAGACCAGGGAACACAGAGACCAGGAAGTGAGAAACCAAAACACAAAGAAAAAAAATCAAAGTAACAACAAAAAACCCGGGAACCAAATAAAAAACTCTTCACACAGGGCAAAAAACATGCTCAACATTCTGTCCCGGATGCTGGGAGTGACAACACGAGGAAAGCCAGGTATTCGTACGCAGATGTCGGAAAGGCACACTGCTGAGTGACCTGCTCACAGGCACACATGTCGAGAGGTGGCATCCCGAGATTAGAATAGGAGAACTGAAAAAAAAGCCCAAAACGATGTGGAAAAACAAAAAGAGATGCCCGCGGGGTCAAAGTATGGGTCAGCATTCTGTCACGGATGTTGGAAAGGGCATGCCGTGGAATGGCAGGAGAGCAAAAAAGACCCTATGCGTAGTGGCAAAACAGGGGTTAGCCTGAGCTCAGCAGGTCAGACGATGTCGGGAAGAAACCTATGCCCTAAGGCCTCTGAGGAGACGACCTGGTGCTCAAGACATCTGAACCCTCAATGCTGAGCGGGGAGGAAAGGGTGACCCAAAAATATATAGCCCCAGACAAAGACACACTGGAAGGACAAGCAAAGCACAGGGAAACTCGGGACAGGACATGAGTAGGAGAACCCTCTAGCTGTAGAGGGCATGACAAATATACAACTTAAAATATGTTCTTATATGCTTTACTTTTAATTATATAAGTGCTCACTTTCCAAATGAACAAGAGGGGTGCCATGAAAGTTAGGTTTGGATATGGGGAGCCTGCTGCTGTCAAACTCAGTTGTGGTGTTGACATATTGCTGTAAAAGTTAAACATCCGTCATCATATTAACACATTTGATTAATATGAAAACTTAAATGTCAGTACACAAATGACCTACTGTATACTGTTTCACATGTTTTAGTGAAACTTTTCATGTTGTTTTTCATAAAATTTAGTGGGTAGATTAAGGTTAAGATTATGGTTAAGTACACCTGACATCTTTCAACACAGCTGTGTCATTGGCTTCTTAGTAAAACAATGAAACAAAATCTAACCCCTTAGCCAGTCTCTTTTCCAGTCATCTGGAAAAGTGATAAAAATATATTGTTTTTTTACTTTTGCAAAGGGGATTCATTATTTTAAAATATCTTACTTTCATATTGCCTCACACATGTCTGAGATTCAACGGAAATGGATCCAAATCAATTTTTTAGGCTGAGATTAAAAGGCAGGGGTTGAACAAGTAAAGAATGTAATTATATCATTTTTGATGAGACGCAATAATATCCCATTTATTTCAGTTCCTTCACGAGTGACGTAGGTGATGAAACACACTGAATCCAGTCACTTACCAAGGATAAAATAAGCCTTTGTATATCTAGGACAGACACAGTAGAACACTGTGAAGTGTTTTAAATCTCTGGGCACGGACAGACTGCAGCTGTTGCATCTTAATGGAATGCTGTAAAGCCTGAATCACACTCTATGAAAGAACAACTTTTCATCTTGTTTGTAACTTCGTGACCCTTGTACTCCAGCTTCGGTCAGACTGGCTCCCATTCGCGCCTTTCCTATAGCAGATGGAATGATAATAGCCCTCTTTTACTTTTGCAAATTATTTATTATCTTTGCTGAGAACAGGAGATCAAAGAGCTGACAGTCGTGATGCAGTTGCTTTTTCCACCTAAGAGCCCGTCTTTAACAATATCCCCCTTAATTAAAGGTTATTCATAACTTTTCCCTCTAAAGAAAATAAAAGATTTCAAAACTCAGTACTCATCAAAGGGTTCTTATTGACAGACACAGAGACCACCTGAAATAAACCAGGCATAGTCGCAATACGAGATGCCCCTCTACACTGTGTCAGACCCTTACATAACTGGCTGCACTCACTGGAGCAGCTAGTCTTTTTCTGTGCAATTTTTCCTTCCTGCTTCTCGAATAAATCATGAACAGTCTTCTTTAATAAATCTGAATATAGATTTAAATAAAATACGTCAGGTGTTCTGAAATTTGGAATTGTAATATGGGTAATCGGTATACATCAAAGGCGGATTTCACTCTGAACAGTATTACAGAAAAGGTTCAATTCATAAGAATAACCAGAAGTACAAGACTTTCTAATACATTTACCAGTCACTATGTGAGAGAACATACTACTCTAGGGCATATAACTACATCTGTAAAATCTCAATTAATTTGAATTCTGTGTGCAGGGTTAGTGTACCACTATAGTTGTGTGCATTACACGGTAGATGTGAATGCTCTAAAAGGTGACATTAAAAACCTTCCAAAGCTCTTGCTTTTGTAACATTACTCAAAGCACTGTATAACATGAAAGAGCTCCACAGTTTAATCTCTTGGTACGTCCCACACAGTGCATTTTGAACAGCAAGCTAATTCCTGTTCCCTTCTGCATGGCTTTCAGAGATCATCTGCCGCGGCTCTTTGTGACATCACAACAGAGGCTCTAAGAACCATAAATGCCACTGAAAGAGCGTTGACCGAGTTGGTTCCGCCAATGCCCAAAGACAGATACCAGTTAATGGGGACAGATGTAAAGCAAGCAGATGAGGCATACAGAGAACTTGAGGAACATGTAAGCATAATATGCACATTTGTAAGGAGCCTGTTCTTCATATTTCTCCATCTGATTTGTCTCTTTTAGTGAAAATATAATAAGTCACTTTAAAAACTTGAACAATCATAAAATTGTGCAAGATCGCTTACTATACAAGTACAGTATAAAAATAACCTTTTTTCATGACATTGAACGTGTTATTTAGTATGCAAAGTTTCTTAATTCCTGAAGTGTGTTAAGAAAGTTATAGATCAGAGAGTAAATAAAATAGTCTGGATCTCAGAGGGAGGAAAGTCTTTAACACACTATTGTATTAAAGGCCATTTAATAATATAGTTTCTATTAAAATACACTACACTGAGAATAGGTTTTCATGTTAACGTGCTCACTCTTATGAAATATCTATGAAGAAAAAAGCATACAAAAACCATAAAATAAAGAATGAATAAACAGTATTTTGCTCATTTTTATTTATGGGAATAAACATCCTGCTAATGTAAAGATTATCCAGACTTTGTAAAAGCACTTTATTATACTCCAAATGCCTTAGGCGGTCTATCTGGTACAGTAACTGCCTGTTTCATGTGTAAATATTAAAATAACTACATGTTTAGAATCCTGTTCTGTACAGAAATGAAAGTAAAATGGTTCTTCGAGTTCCCCATGGTAGTAGGCCACTGTAAAGAGTGACATGAATTGAATTGGTGGCTGGAGGTGTTTGTCTTCTTTTTGGTGTTCCTTACTCAGGCGAATGTTTGCTTTCACTTCCCCACACCTTGTTTCAGCTTCTCCAAATTCAGGCAAGGGGGGTGAGTCTGCTTATTTATATTTTAATCATTTTTATAATGTTTAGCCTGCACTGAAGCTAGAAAAAAGTTTTAAGACATCTTAGAAGCATCACTTGAAACGGTATGAGAAGCTAAAGGGCACTTAGTTACAGTCCAGCTATGTTTTACATTGAATGCATAATGATGCCACATTAGTTGGCCCTGGCCTATCTCAAATGTGTGCGTGCCTTGCGCTCTGACTCTCTGTTGTGTTTTCTCAGGTGTACATGACAGCTGGGAAGGCCTATAACTTGGAGAAGAAGCTGAAAGAATTGGAGGAGTGTGCCAAGAACCGCTACAGCGGGACCACAGACTCTGAGTTGTCTGAGCTGGAGGACAAGGTGGCGTCTGCAGTAGCCAAGGTCCAGCATGCTGAGAGCGAGGTATAATACACCTGCATTCTGGAGAACCTTGCTGCTGCTCCCCTGTACAAATATGTTTCCACAGCGAAGTGAAGATATACTACTTGGTTTTTCTGCTTTTGAAGGCCATTAATTTCAGATGTTCCGACTTCATACTGTATGCCATTTTGTGGAGGAGGTGCCCCAAAGCTGACAGGAAGCCTAACAAGTGATTCCTTCTAAATCGGGCCTGTGGGAAATACGTGGATAGTGTTTTGTGAAAGTCTCAATAATCACATGGGAAATGTTTAGGTCTCTTTTACTCACCACTGCGTGCTTTCCTGCAGGTATCAGATATTGAGTCTAGGATTGCTGCCCTGAGTGCAGCTGGCCTGACTGTTGCCCCAGAGAAGAGCAAGAAGAAATCCTATGCACAGGTCAGGGGTGTTGAGTGACTGTCAGAACTCATCTTTGTAAGCATGATGAGCATGATCAGTGCTGCTTGTTTTTGCTTGATTGTCGCTTTTTCATGGTGGTATGTTAAATGACACAGCCCTTGGGCAGGCACCTATATCACCCTACAACTCACAACTGGCAATTCACTGAAGCTCAGCAGATCTGAGCTTGGTCATTACCTAGATAGGAGACCTCCTTGGAAAAACTAAGGTTGCTACTGGAAGAGGTGTTAGTAGGGCCAGTAGGGTGCGCCTACCCTGCGGTCTGTGTGGGTCCTAATGTCCCAGTATAGTGACAGAGACACTATACGGAAAAAAGGTGTCCTCTGGATAGGCTCCGGGTTAACAGGAATAAGAAATTTGATAATGGATGGTTGGCTTCTTTTCATGTAAAATAACTTACTTTGGTTAGGGATTAAAGTTTTTCTATTTCATAAGTCATATTGCACAGGGCAATACAGTAATCAAATTGATTTCTTTCAATCTGTTTGATCCTCAGGGATCAGCCATGCCGCAGCCAATACGGAGAAAACTGTCCCATGATATCCCAAGTAAGATCCTGTTTTTTTATTAAAACAGAAGTAGATAAGTGCATATAGTGTAGATGTGGGTATTTGTTAGTGCAACAGGCTAGATTTCCTTCATGTAATAGGAAACACAATGACAAATTCACATATTAATGAGATTGCTACATCATGTCCTTGAACAGGATTTGAGTTTTCGGTAATCACTCTAAAATTAAGTGCATTCTTATTGCGATTATTTTTGTTATCAAACATTATTGTTATTATTGCACATGTGGCAGTGCACTGATTGCTTAAGGTTAACCATGGTGAGGGTAAAAGATTAGTTAGCCAGGGCTAGGGCTGTCTTGGCTTCAAGCAAAACAGCAGTCCCTATGCCTAACCAGGCACCCCTAGGCTTGTGGTGACATAAGTGAGAGATGGGCTTTCCTGCAGTCAGGACTGAACCTCCTGTATGTGGCTTAATATGTGCAGGTGGGTCACAGGAACCCAGCTGCATTTCTTCACTCTCCCTGTTTGGGCTGTCAGTTGAGCCACAAAAGACACAGACAGTCTAAAAAATAGGATCATATTAGCTTTATAGTGTGATGGATATATATTGATTAGCAAAGAGGTAACGTTTCCCCTTCCTTATTGATCATTTATCCTTATACAGGTGACATGATGAGCCTTATAGAGAGTGATGTGATTGCAATTGAGATTATCTGATCTTTACCTTCGTTTATTCTAATTTTTAAATCAAACGTATTTTATCTTCTTTTTTGTGCTACACTGGACATCTATTAGGTATTTGCTGGTATGCCAAGGCCATATGGTCTCTGATACAGTATCCTAAGTAAAGAAACTAAAAAATGTTTGAAGAATTTACATTTATACCCAAACAAGGAAAACCAGTCTGTGTTTTTAAACAATGTTTGACAGTCCAAACAGACAGTATGTAAGAATTTAAGCTTTTGTTAAAGGATTTAATTCAGTATTATAAGTGTTAAAGGTCACCTTTTTGCTAGTTAGTAATTAAAACTACGAAACATACTACTGTATATTCTTAAAAATCTTGAAAGTATAACTTTTTTAATACTGTTTTAAAGTAGCATTGAGAATTGAACATTTTCAGGGACTGACTTTTGAGTGCAAAATCTTGTGTCTCAAAAGATCCTTGATTCGATTATCACTTCCTCTTTGGAGTAGCTTCGATCTGAAGAGTGAATATCAAGGGTTATGCACACAAATAGTTGTTTCTTTAAGCGGGACGTTATTAAAGGTTTAATGACATCATAATCCCTATGAGAATTAAATCTTTATTTAGAAGTAAGACAAATTATTGGCATTTTACTACAAAATAAAGTAGACAGTGCATTAATCATGTTCCATTATGTCCTAATAATAATGGTTTACTTGTACAAGGGATGCACAAGTATGTATTCTTGCACAGATCTATGCAGCACCTTTAGAAAAACAGTGATATAAAAAATAATGGAACTAAATAAAAATAGTCCTATATTATTGTCAAAGAAAAAGATGTGATAATTGCTCTGTCTTGTATTTCTTATTATTTTATTTAAATTCTTGTAAAAATATATGTTTACAGGTATCACATCTCAGCTAATCCTTTCAAAAACAGGGTCCACACTGGTAAAGAAAATGTACAGTATTATAAATGAGAACTCACTCTTCCATTAAACATATTGCTAATTTTTTGCATTTTATTTTTTTCTTTTAAAGGTGCTATTTCATTATTATAACGTTTATTATTATTTACAGGCCTGAAAGAAAGAGTAACCACATCTGAAGTTGTCTAAAATGTGTTTTTAGGTCATGCTGATGAGTTTTTACGCAATTCAATCTACAGAGGGTCTCTCACTCAAAGGAACCCAGTATTTAAGCCTAAGCGTAACCCAATGTCTGCGGTATGAACCCAGCCTTTATCTCACCGTGCTCCTCTGGAGATCATAGCTTGGTGTTTCTTCCTCTGGTGCCTGGTGGTGGAGGGTCTTACTGTACATGTGTTTGCTTTCACCTTGGCCAAGGCATTGGGATGTGGATTTGTTTGCATCAATGAGATCTATCCATAACATGTGCTGTATGTGTCCTCCTGGTATTTAACATATTTAAAACTCAGCATTTAAGTCTTTTAAGATTGAGCTCCGCCTGAAACTGAGAATTCTGCTGATGTGAATTTACTGCATGAGGGTGCTGAACTGTGGCCATGCTCAAAATATCACAAGCACTTTTCCACATTTGGGCAAGTTCTTGAAGGAACAAACAGAGTTTTTTCTGGAGCACTGCAGCTTTACACATCTGGTTTCATTAAGTTTAATGATGAAAATGAGAACAAATGGAGGTAGGATCAGCCATATTTCTGCCAGTAATTGCTACTCACTGATTTAAAGGCTGATTAACGAAATTTACTGCATTTCTAATTAGTGGATATGAATTTTACTGAGTGTTGGATGTATTAAACATACCTAAAGGGTCTTTTGTTGTTGTGGTCCAGGCCCTTTGATAATGTTTCCACTACGTAAGAGATCTAAGTTAATTTTTTTTCTTTTCAGAAACCAGTAATGGCTCAGCATCCATAAGGAAAAACAGCCTCCTGTAATAGTCCTGTCTTCACTGCCACCCAGGAGGTGTGCTGTTCTTCTGGGTTGAAAAAATGCAATTCCTCATCTACAGAGTATTGGCCGACCACAATTTGTCTTCTATCACTGCAGAAAGGCCAGGGCAGCATAAAGTCCTGCTGAGCACATCAAGTTGACTAAGCTGCCAATGCAAAACACCACAAGTGTTTGCATTTATTGACAACTGGATTACTAGCCTAAACTGGCCATGGTTGAGTTTTGAGTGTTTGCTTGTTTGTATTAAATACTGTAATAAAAGTAAAGTGTTTTGCCACATGTACTGTCACATAAATGACGTAGGTACCATTCCACAGAACAAACACTATCTAAATGGCCTTGTTAACACCTTGTTTGAAAACTTAAACAGCTACAGCATTCAAGTGAATACATCTGTGAGAAGCTTCATTGTTATCCCACAAATAAAAATAAATAAATTAGTGTTTATTGTACACTGGTGATACATGCATCTCCACTTAACAACAACATTAACTAATATTAAATTGATCAGACGTAATCTACTGTATGAAAGGTCTTTTAACTTAAAGAAACATAATGCTGCGAAACATGGACATAAAGCAACAAAACAGACAGCAATAGTGGACATCCAAATTTTAATTCGTGCAGACAAGTTAGGTTGAATGTTGCAAAAAATTGATAACACTCATGCTGCTAATCTGTTCTGGAATAAAACATTCATGAACAAATAGGAAGAAAAGTCAGTGTGCAGCAATAGGCTTTTCATTATTTAGTCTAAGCAAAGTATAAGCAAGTAATCATTTTAAGCTGTACACTCTTATTTCTTTATTTCTCTTATTTCAAACATTCTTTCTCCGTGAGAGCTCAGAGTGTATGTTTCTTTGTATTTTGCTTTGTGATGCTATGGTAGTTATGAAGAAATAATTACATCAAATTGTGAGGAATACTACTGTATATCACATTACAATACATTTTTCTGCTTTTTGCATTGTTCTTGTGCTTGTCTGCTATTATATTTTACTATATAAAATAAAAATACGAGGTGATGAAGATTTAGTTAGTTCTCTTATTTAATGTCTTCTGGTCACAGTCTGTGTTCTACACTGCAGTGTTCATTTTATTTGCCTGACAGTAATGGCATTGCTTGTTCTATACCTAAACAGTGTGTACTTTCAAAAATATATTAATTAAAATATTAACATGGTAGTGTGTTTAAGATGTTTGTTGGTGTTGGTGTTAGTTTGTAATGTCAACTTTCAATTTGAATATTAATATTAATATTACCATAAATTATGCAGGTCTTGTGATAATTGTTTGCTTAAACAGTGAATCCTGCCAGTTTGTTCCTGCTTAAAATTTGCAATATTTTTTTGGGGGGCTGGATAGCATCAGGTTGACAATTTTGATATCCTCTTTTATTTTATGTTGTATTTATTTAAAGGATAAATTGACATCCTGTTAATCACATTTCACAGATAATTTTTAATTAAGGAAACAAAAGTCTACTCAGTTATACACAAATGTACTGGGTTCCTTTTGATCTATACATTTATAGAGAATTGGAATATGTCCATTGAAACCCTTTTGGTTATTTTCAACTGGGGCACTCTGTTGATTATTTTGTTAAGTGGTATATTAAAAGGGATGCATGTACTTAGAAAATGGCTTTTTTGTACTGTGTATTTCCCTTACAAAGAGAAAGAGGTCTCCATCTTTAACATTTCACCTCTGATGTGTTGTATTGCAAACAGTTGTTGTGGACAAAGGTTTAAGGTGCTAAGAAAAAGGTACTATCACTTCAGAAAACCATCTTCATTACATCTTCACTGAGGAGAACAACGCTATGCACCAGCAGAATATCATTGGTCACTATCCATAAACACATTTCTAACCATTAGACATCAGCTTTACACCTCTCCCTGCAGCACTCTTTTGAAATAAAATAGTTTTCTTTTCACCTGAAGAATGTTTAATGATTTAAAAAAACAGAAACCTAACTGAAATCCAGCTCATCCAGGAATCCAGAACAGACCCCCTGTTGGTTACTATGAAAGACAGGGCTTGGAGGCTAAATATTCTTTCTGTAGCATACACATACTGTAAGCATAGGCAAATGCTTTTATAATATATTCTAGCTTCTATCTACAGCCGTTCCACCCACACACACAGTTTTAGTATAGTTAACATGCAGCATGGTGCCTGAATTCCTGAATTTTATTTAAAAAATGTAAATGTAAATGTTTTTTTAATCTGTAGTAATGAAGTCCAGTAATTAAGTCATGACTATTTGTACCATGAGCTGCAAAGCAGCATAAGCTACAGTAGGGAAAAAGCAGGCTATGAAAGACAGAAGCATCCTAAGCATCCTAAGCATTAAAGCCATCGGGCCCAAAGGACCGTCAGCATGCCCTTAGTAAATGCCTAGGTTTATTTCACATCTTTACATACAAAATCCTAAAAGAAGCAAGGATGCATATACTGTACTGTACAATAAAACCATGAGTATTTAATATTGTGCATAAAAATAGTCAAAGATACATGCTGAATTACTGTATGAAAAGGTGTTGTTTTTGCAGCATATCTACTTATACAAAAAGTTAATGTGTGAAAATAAATGAAATGGAAGAAAAATATGATTGAGCCCATGGGAGAAATAGAGCTTCCCTGTAGAAATTTGTGATAGTATCCTTATTGTTCATTTGTCTCTGCATTCAGTGAATTTTACTTAAATCAAAAAAATATATATTGAACCAATTTGTCTTTTTATTTAAAGGACAGAACATCATTTTCTGATTTGAGAGTCTAAATGTTTATATTTTTAATTTTAAGCTTTGTAAGTTGCTTTTAATAATTTCATCCATGCAAATACAGCCTAAAATAAAATACAGCCTGAAATAATAGAATTACATGTACCTTCTCTTTGAAACTTCAAGTTGAACAGTAATTGGATTTTAAAAAATGTTGCTATTCATTTGCAATCTAATAAACAATATCAAACACGCTTCCATAATTGCTGTTAAGATCTAAACATGGTGTGGTCTAAAATGATAAATAGGAACACCTTCTGTGTGGAGTGTGATCTGGGTGTGACATCAGCACTCTTACAGGGGATATAAGCAGGCAGCCCTGACAGCATCTTCATCTGTTTCTGTAAAGGACTCATCAGAGCCACAACTCAAAGACATCTCAGAAATACAGCTGTGACAACACACAGTAAGTGCTCTGCTCTCTTCATCTCTCAACTCAGGGGAAAATGGCAAAAGAGTTACAATACTGTGGTCCAATAATGGCAATTGGCAAAGCTTCTCCCAAAAAGATTGAATGTCATTGGAAAAATTGTTCTTTTGGTGCTTTGATAAACTAACATAGTAGTATAGTAACCAGAGTAATATTTATATATATATTAATCTGATAAGAAAAGATGAAGATAGATCTGATAGAAATTCAAATTCTGACACAGTATGTGCTGTGATTGCATCTTTTTAATATATTGCAAAAATATCTTACAGACTATTTGACATCCATCACAAGTCTTGTTAACTGCTCTCACAGTTTTATTGCTTACTGTGAAATGAAAGTTAATGATTTTTTCTAGCCTAAATGAGGGTTTGTATTTTGATTTAATTTTTTAAAATGATTAAATATTGCTAAATACCATGTTTACAAAATGTAGTATTTTTTTTATAAATTTCAAAAAAACAAAAAAACCTTACTTACAATTTTTTTAATTGAATGCCATGTACCAAATCTTTTAATTAATTTGAATCTTAAAAGCATCAGTGAATTGCTCTGTTTTATGTATCTTGTTTTTGTTGTGTATTTTCTTAAGGCAAATACCTGTTTTTTCATCCTAGAGTTTAATCTGTATTTTGCATAATTTCTCCAGCAATTTACCACTCTTTAAAATTAATTGTTGGTGTTATTATTATTAGTATTAGTAATAATGACATATACTGTATGCCAACTTGCCTAGTGGGCACCCTTATCCTTATTTCTCAGAAATATAAGAAATTTACATTGAGCATAATTTCAAGGAATTTTCCATAAGATAAAATAAATTAATAAAACAACTACACAAACTGGACGGACAATGTACCATACAAATACATGAGATAAAATTAAAACAATTTAATATTATATTTTTATTTTAAACTATAACAGTTTTTATATTTTCTTTCTGAAAATACAATTGCATTCTGAAAATGTTGTGACTTATTACTGTGTTACAAATGTATGTCACTGCTCCAAGTCTACAGTACTGTTTGATGTGGTCTTCCTTGATTCTTGTGTAGCACATTCCATACTTTCTTAATGGACTGTTTGTTGTCTGGTTAGAGGTGATAACAGATCACCTGAATAATTTAATATGTTTTATAAAATGTGCCTATATGGAAGGTTTCACCAGGAAATTGTTACGTTAAAATGTTACGCCTATATACAGTACATAAGTTACCTTCAAACAAAACATAGTGTGTAATGATATTTTGATTTTATGATACCAACAATTATATATAATTGGATGTGAATGTTGGCATGTAATGAGATAACTATTTTAGTTTTATTGAAATAGCACTTATCTAAATGTCTGTTGCAGGTGTTGCTTCCAGCTGCTGTTGCTTTTCCTGACCCTGAGCCTACCCTGTGAGTGCTGGCCGTCAGAGCGCACAGGAATGAAACTGTTTGCCACTTGCTGCTCTCTCCTGCTGCTGCTCTGTCTGGCTTTTCCCAAGACTGAGTGCAGATACCTGGAGCGATCCATGGAGATCAGAAGTAAGTTTTACTTTCCATGTTGTGCAAATGTGCCGCTCAGCTGTGTTTGTGTGTGTGCATTAACCTGCTAATCTTCGTTTTTAAAAACAACACAAAAGAAGTTTCTGCTTCTGGGCTAGGAACCGATTTGTAGGTTATGTGCATTATAACTGTAGGATTTCTAACACACCCTCTAACAGCAACTTAAACATAAGTTCTACAGTCACTAGCCTCTTCAACTAGAGGTGATCAGTCCTTGGTTGAGAAGTGCAGGTTTGATGGTTTGGGTAGCAAAATAGTTCTTATGTCTACCTTTCAACCAACATTTTTTTGGAGGCAGTATTGGTCTTCTCAAGACTCATGCCAATTAAAATGCACTTACAGCGCAAACTTATTTGCTAATTACCGATTGATGAAATGTTCATGATTAAACCTGTCAAGTGTCTGTATCCTGGTTGTTTGACACTATGGTTTCTGTCCAGAGGTCTGGTTTTCCTGGCTTTTCTTTACATGCAGAATAGGCTACCACACAGAAAATAGTCTGGGAATACTGTAGTTGTGTCCTGGGTAAGATCCAGTTTGAGAAACATTTCTAGAAATCGCCTGTTCACCCTTGTGGTCCATGGCATTGTTTACATCTCACATTGCCTTCTGGAAAATGACTTCCTTTCAGACACTGATGTCCTGTCCCGCTGCTCTCCCTCAGATCCTGACATTGACGCCTCCTGGTACACAGGACGAGGGATCAGGCCGGTCGGGAGATTTGGCCGGAGAGTGTCGGACAGTCGCCGGGGGTCTGGATACGGCTCTCGCCGGCTGTGCATCCCCATTGAGGAAAACGACGACTCTGCTGCAGACGAATAGAGCTTCTCCAGCTCTGCAGCTTTTAAGATTTTCTCCCTGCTTTATTTCTTTTGTTGTTAGGTTTCTATTGCCAGTGGTGTCATATCTGTGATTAAAATGTGTACATACAAAAACCAAAGATGGGTGCTTATTGTAAATCTTAAAAAAAGGCCAACCCTAGACCCCGTTTAATGATTTTTAAATGACTTTTTGAACCTGTAAATACTGCACTGGGAAAGCAAACAAAATGTTCAAGTAAAACACTAGGATTCTGAATGACTGTGAAATTCGATTTCCTAAATTGCTTGTTTGCTTTTGTATTTTTTCACCCAATACAGACTAAAGTTTCAAATGAAATCCAAAGCATCGATAAACAGAAGTCAGTGTAATTTTCTGCCTTTTTTCTCTGCATTATTGTTTTTTTTTCAACACTAATGACACCTATCAAACCATTTAAGAAACAGTTTCGGCTTGCACAAATAGATTCACATGTTTTGGCTAATAAACTGCATTTCTGTCATGGCATTTGAGACTTTGCAGATTGTAAAATATTGACAGTTTAAATGTTGTTTAAACTTCAGGACATAAATTAAAAACCCATTATGCTAAGGAGTTATTCCTTAGTGATAAAACAGATTCTCTTGTTAACAGTTTGGTATAAGGAAATGTATTCTCAAGGGCTCTTAAGGTGACTCTTCATCACATAGTCGATCCATTGGAAATACATTAACAATATTTTTTGGCGAGGGTATTCTGTTTTAGTATAGTCTATTCTGTTTTAGTTTAGTATAAAATGATGTTGTAATACATAAAATGTACTTGCAGTGTATTGTATGATTTTATTGTTTCTTCAAGTGTTGTGCAGATCTGACTTTGTTCCTAACAATGGTGATTCAATTCCAGGGTATGCTATATATGATCCACAAGGAACCCAGTAATGTTTAAGACCAAGAGGTAATGGTGTTATTGGTCAGACTAGACTATTTATGATGACAGATGGCATGAGATTGTTGAGTGTAGATTTCTAGAGTGCCATGTTGCTGCTTCTGGTGTTAGCACTGAATTACTGTATATCTTGGGCATATATGAGCAATCCAAATTTCTGTTTTCTTGATAGATTCAAAGGAAAAAAGATTCAATAATTCCTAGAATAAAATATTTTTTTCTGACATGGTTAAATAAAAAAGTATTTAAGTGCTTTTAGTGATTTTCTTTAAATATACACTGTTCTAGGCTGAATTAAAATCCTTCAAACCTCATAGGATTTCACCTTATCCCAGTTTCAATGGCATGTGTAAGTCACACTAGCTTTTTTATACCAGACACAAATACTAATTACAGGTAGTTTCCATATTTAATGCTGCACTGTAGAGTCACATTCAGGACCTAGAGGAAGTGTGTGTGTGATAGTGGTGGTGAGAGGGTAGTCTTGAGTCTAGAGCTAAAGTAGATTGCATCAAAAAGCAGTTTGTCAACAGCTGGGATTCTGTAATACTGATCACCATTTTTGTTTCACAATATCCAGAAATTATATTTAAAATTATTTGAAGAGCTTTGTCAGACCTTTGCACTTTTTAAAGTTCATAATTTTTTTAACTTGAAAGTGGTGAGCAGTGTGATCAGATGTTAAAATCAAGGCATTTATTTTCCTGAGTGATAGAACTTTTCAAACAGGACATCAAAACCAATTCTGTGTATAATTGAACCTGGTGCCTTGTGATTTTTAAAAATAAAGCCATAAGCACTGTATGTTTCAACTGAATTGGCTACCTGCTAGGTTGTAATCATTAACATAAAGTGCACACACTGTACTGGTAAGATACATTTTCTACTAAACTGTGGTGTCTAGAATGGCTGTAGGAATTATGAACACATTTTTATTCTTTGATTCAAGTGATTTGAATGGAATGGAATGGACTTTTTGTGCTTGTTTAGAAATGGATTAATTAGAACATTAAGTGCAGCTTTGGAAACTTGTTATCTAGCATGATCAGAGTGTAAAATTACAAGACTCCACCTATTGTCAATTGAGCAGTCCACTAGGGTTTTTAAACCCTCACATACCATCATGCTGCCATCTACTGGTCTGAATTATTGTGGTTTAAAATTTTCACTACTTTTTTTAACAAGGAAGGATGGAGGAGATGGCATAGAAAAGAAAATTGCACTATTTTATGTTTATGTTTAAGTGTTACAGTGGGCATCTTTTAAAAGCAAAAAAAAAAACAGTTAAAAAAAGATCCAGCGCAGGTCTTTCATCCTTACAAAAATGTCATACAAGAAGAAAGCCCTATGATTTACAACACATTTACAAATCTCAGTCACAACAGAGGATTACTGAAGATCAGACAGTGGTTGTGCTCAGCTCTGAACTTCACAGAACATAGGAAGACCACAATCTGGACGTTTCAAGTGCACTGGAGAAGTCAGAAAGCGTTCTGATATACTGGAAAAAAACCCACATGAACAAGGGCGAAAAAACTGTACAAACACCCCAGGAATTTGGCCCAAGGCCCCAGAGCTCACGACTGTGGCACCATGCTGCCCAATGATTGAATAGTTTCTTTTTTCTTCAGTTCTTTAAGTCAAATAAAGCTGAGCTCTGTGGCAGTTATTTTTCAGTCTTCCGGTAGACGCCTGTAGCTTGATTCTTTTCAGAACAGCTTCTTGACTCCTATACAGGTCAGCTATCCTGTCTCAGTGCAGCTCAGCCATGCAGCAGGTTCCCTGTTTGCGCTGTGTCTCCGGACTGTGCAAATCCACACAGGAGTCTTTCCACTCCTCTAGGGTGCTTTCAGGTGTTGTGCTCTGTCGTATCCTATGGGCTGCACAGTTCAGAGACAAAATAGTGCTTATGTCATAAGGCTACCAGTGCAAGACACAGAAAAATAATTTGCTTCTTTTCTATATTAATTTAGCTTTGACTCCTATACAGTTAGCGCTGTACCAACACTCTTCAGAACATTAGTTTGAGATTATTCATTTAAACACCATTTTATAACAAGGAGTGAAACTGAAGCAGGGCATTTTGAAGACATTTGGAATCTGAGATGTATTTTGCTTTCAAGCTATGTACTAGTAAGGCCCCTTATTTCGCTTTTAAACAGGACAATGTAAGATCATTAGAAGTATTGTTGTTACAAAGACAAATGCACCTGTTAATATCTACCTGCTCAATAATAGCATAATAATAATGTTCTCAATCATGGAGCATAATTATAAAAATAATGCACTAATATCTAAAATATATAAACATATTATCTGATTATATAGTTTTATTCACGTAAAGATGCTTTACACAAGGATAGATTTTTTCTCCGGTGATTTCTGTCTATATATATTTGTATGTGCATGAATGCAGACACTGCAGTCCATATTTACAAAAAAGAAATAATACAGAGTGCCTGCTATTTTTTCACAATACTGTCCTCTGTAGGTCACACATCTCTCTAGCATCTACTTCCCTCTTGTGGCTACTTACAGTACAGTATACTAACTACTGTGTTAATAAATGTTTCACAATCTCCGTTTTATTATGCCGTTTTATTATGCCTCACATTCTACGTTTGCAGGCTAGGGTGATGTGCTATTGATAAAAAATACTATTAAAGATATATGTGATATTTATGTGATATTTCCTAAATCCAAATACAGTACTGAAATAACGTGGCTTTTCTTCTAGAGAAATCCAGTTTAAAGGCCATTGTGGCATGACTGGGGGGTTTGTAAAATAACATAGTCTCATGATGGAGATTAAGCTGTTTTTCCAAAGCCTTAGAATAGAGGCCACACCCTGTAGAAGATATTTACCTATGGTCATGAGAAGCTCGCTCACTTTGCTTCCCGACTTTGCAGACGTTTCCGTGAATAGCAGGCCTTTGTTTTCCGCAAGGGTCTGGCCTTCCTGAGAAGGGGAAAGATGCCTGTATGTTATACATTCAATATTGACTTTTGCATAAAGCTCTCATCCAAAGGTCTTTATCTTGTAAAGGGTACTGCTCTACGTCCCTCCTGAAGCAAGGATTATTTTGAACCTACAGGATACATCCCTTGAAAAATACAGTTTAAGAACAGCTACAAACAGAACTTTTCTTCAAAATATGAGTACGGCTTGGTTTAGATCCGGGTGGTCAGTAAGTTTTCACTCCTGCTCAGTGGCTCAGCTAATAATGACCTAAATCATTTGGTTGTTGACGTACTTGGACAAATTTAACAACTTGTACCCGCTCTCTGGGTATTCAGAAAGATTTCTGAAACACCAGTCCTTTGAGCTGGACCACCCTGGTTTAGGTAAATAAAACACTGTGGTCCAATATTGTGAGCTGCTCACAGATGCTTCTATTAGGATGGGCAACAGCAACTACTGTAGCATCTTATCCCAGCCAACAATCTAGAGCTGTTTTCCACAGCCTTTCCACAGGCTGCAGGCAATATTTGTCTTCATTTAATACACAAGGTGCAAGATTCCTAATGAAGTACCTGCAGCATCACCTGACGTAGGTCCGAAAGGTCCCCTTTATTTCCCACCAGAGCCACCACTGTTTCTCCAGGGACGTACTGTCTCTCAAGCTCCCTCAGCCACAGCTGAGCACGCATAAAGCTCTCCTGCAAAACAGAAAAGCTGTACACTGAGCTTTACTAACAGATCATTTATAACTCACTGTACTTCATACACTCGGTCAAAACAGCATGCAAAAAAAAAAGACGGCTGCCCGTTATTTTGCCTTCTGCCTAATTCTACCAATGCCAGATAAAATCATAATGCCCATTGTCACTTCCTGTATGTGTTGACACACACCAAAAGGATTTTTGTAAACCAATATATTTTCTAATAATAATATAAGTTTCCATGCCTTCAAAATACGTCTATCTACGTTTTAGATTTACTGTAAATGTAAAAAGTACAATATCAGAGGTAAAGGGCATGTGTCTACATTCAAAGTGTATGTACTGTGTATGAAATTGTCTCCTTCAACTAGCCTTAAGATTTATCTTTGATCTGGACTCTAACAGTACAACTTCAAAGTACACTTCAAAGCATATGGTATTATGATCACAATTCCGTAATGGTTCTTTAGATCGATGACATTGCCTCTTATAAATACTTGATAAACTTAGTAAGAAAACCATTTTTAACCATGTCTACCATTTCATTGTCTCCTGCTGACATTCTTATTGGTGTTTCCAGTCTGTGTGAGGAAAGTCTCCTATTCAAATCTTATCTTTCATTAAATGATGTATTCATATTCTTCATTTAATTATGCTGTGTTGAATTAACATGTGTATTTCATACCTTTTGAATGTTTTTCATAGGAGATCCTTTATTCAAATTCATCCATATGAGATCCTGTACCTGAATATACTTTTTAGCATACTTGTATACTTCTTCACTTCATCCTATTCCAGCCTCCCCATTTCTCCCACACATTGTGTATCAACTAATGATGTATCCAGAAGTATCATTCTTCATTAGATAGGTTTCTATGATTCCAAGCATACTGTATTACCATCACCACCTGCTAATTGTGGTAACGTCCTACATGATGATACTCTTATTCATGATGTACGATGCAGTGCCCACTAATAAAAACCTACACTGTTTCTATTACTTCTCTAAAAAAATTCTATAGCATTTCATGAGTCATTTCTGGAATTCCAAAATACAATATGAAATGATGCCAGAAAAGGGGGACTGGAAAAAACCTGCCAGAAATAATATAACACTATATTGTATCTACAGTATGTAAGAAGCTGAAAACATTTTAATGGGGAAATCGAATATGTACTTAACCTGGAATTTCCCTTATGTCATTTTTTATTATTGCCTAACAAGACAGCTCTGTCTTTCAAAAGACATATTATTATTATGCAAAGGAACAAGTAATAGGTCACCTGAAAGTGTGACACCTGAAGAAGGCTCCACGGCCGAAACGTTGTGTTCTCTTTCTTCTTTTTTTCAGCATGGAATAAACCTATTACTTGTTCCTTTGCAGCCTACGCATGCTGACGCAGCTACCCACCTATATTATTATTATTATTAGTAGTAGTAGTAGTAGTAGTAGTAGTAGTAGTAGTATCTTTAAAGCACTATTTGCATCTTTCAGCAAGAAACTACAACTCTTTGAAGAATGTCAAGATAAATGTTTATGGAAGTTATGCCATACAGTAGGTAGATTTTTAAAAATAAACCTGCACATTAAGACTTTTCTATGCCTAGCAGCCTTGCTGTTCTGAGTGCTGATGGTGTCCTGGGTCTTACCCGTTTGGTGATGTCATACACAACCAGGGCAGCCTGTGCCCCTCGGTAATACAAAGGGGTCACACTGTGGTATTTCTCCTGTCCTGCTGTGTCCCATATCTCAAATCTAAGGGTAGCATCATGCAAACACACAAGATGGGTCATATATGCACCTGAGAAGGAAAGGACTTCTGATTAGATTACAGAAATACAGAAGGACCGTGACTAAATAAATTCATTGTATTGCTTTCCCAAAGCCTCTCCCTTGTGATTCTCAAGAAGAGTACAAAATTTTTGCACATATTTTTTGGGGTTCATTTTGCTTTTCCTTGTGGTTATTTAGAAATGTATTTATGGTCAGTAGAGTGTATTGGTATATACAGTACCTATGCATAGTGACAGAATGTTGGACTGTTTTATAGAGGGAAATTATTTTGGGTTGAGAAGTAATTCTCAACCTCTGCCAACTCTAACCCTACCTGCTAAAGTTTGTAGCTTTCTCTTCCTTTTTTTCCAATGGGGAAATTACATTTTCAGGACGCCTGTGGAGGCTCAGCTGTTCATTAGTAGTTTCTCTCTTAGAGAATAAAAGGACATGACAAACACAACCCTTTGTCTTTTGCTGGGAAAACCTGAACCACTGGCGTCTGTGGTTTTGCTGCTGAAGGAAAACCAGAGCACAAAGAACAGTGAGCTAGAGGTTGCGAAGATGGAAGTAAATTTTTAGTTTGCTGACCTTGTGTGAGCTGGAAGCTTACTCCTGTGCTGGAGGTGCACACAGTAACAAATAAGTTTGAAAAAAAACTAATTAGGAAGAAACATTTTTGAAGTGTTTCCTACCTTACACTAGAAGGGACAATTAAAAGACCATGGACAGTGGTGACTGGTGACCCCAAACTGTTATAATGTGCATATACTGTATACAGTAATACTATTTCGAGGCTACTTTAATTTACCAAGGCAATGCTAAAGTTATAGTAGAATCCTGATATTGGACTTACATCCCACTGTTGGTACTGTGGAACTGAATTCCTCTTTGGAGAAACGGAAGGCCAGACTGGATTTTCCCACTCCACTGCTCCCTAACAGGACCATCTTCACTCTCAGCGTCCGCCTCTCGGCTGGAGTGTGAGCGCTCGACTCCTTTCTTCTTTTACTCTCTTTCCTTTCTGTCATGGTTCGGGATCAACGAAGACTACCTCCGCAGAGCGAAGCAAGTCAGTAAGGCAAATTAGTTTTGTTGCTCTGGTCTTTTGTTTCCCTCCCAGCTGGCAGAATTTAATCACTTTCCCTCTTTGTTGACACCCAGGGAACAGTACACCACCTTATCTGTCCCTTATCGGTCCTGTAATCCAGGAAGAACACTCGAGATTCATACACAAAAAAATTGAAAGTTATAAGGAGTGCAAAAGTCAAAGTTCAGCCTTTATCGGCCTAACTGCATGCAGTCACACTGCAGAAAGATCAGATGTACACCTGCTCAATCTGTATTCCCAGCTGTAACCTCCTTCCAGGCTTTCATTCATTATCTACAAACAAGAAAAACCAACAAACACTGTATCTTACCATTTTATTTTGTTTCATTATCACATGAGATATTCATTAGCTGCTAATTAACAAAAGTCAAATTTGTTAAAAGGAGGAGTTAGTGACCTGGTTCCATGAAATGTACATGAATGAACATGGCTATTTCGGTAAATTAACAAACAGGGTTTGAAGATAAGATAAATGGGAAGCAATCCCATTATCCATTAAAATCTCAAAGGCAATTTCTTGCATTTAAGTGAACTCTTTAAAGTTAACTTGGCAGAAAATGTCTTTGAAAATGACATTTTTATGAAATGATGTTCATTTGGTAAGTATTCAAAACGTAGCGTACTTACCTAAACAGAGAGAAATCCACAGTGGGCAGAAAAGAACTGAGACTGAAATGCAGTTGTGTCTGCTTGGTGTTCCCCTTTAATAGAAAATGAAAATAAAAGTGGAAGCCTACTTAAGAGTCATTGTCTGAGCAAGAGAAAAACTTTTTTGTTTCTAAAAAAAGCAGCATTTTTTTTAAACAGATTGCATAATATTTCTGTAATCCCTTACAAAAATATACATAGGGATTATTTCAGGTTTTAAGAAAAACCCTGTGTTCAATAATGTTTAAGACATAAAAAGAACACATTTTCAAATGGGAGGAGATAATTTGGCTTATTTAACTCAGTTCCTTTTTAGTACCTGTTTTACCTGAGTATTTCATCTGTGTGTTTCCAGAAAGAAGTAAAAGTATTTACCTGGACAACATAATTGAGTACCTTATTACAGATTGCTACAGTACAACCCTCTGTGTAAAGAAGTGCCTTTTTTTGGTTTTAAATGCACTTCTCTTTTGATTTAATTTGTGTCCACTGGTATGTGTTTCAGTGCTGATTCTGAAGAAGTCCAATCAACTGGGTTGATTTTGTTAACTCTTTTAATGATTTTGAATGTTTAAATCAGGTTCCCTTGGAGTGTCTCAGAGAAGAGCTTTCCCTTTGGGTCAAGAAATCTACCTGGATGTCCTTCTCTGAACCTATTTCCAGAGAACCAATATTGTTTTTGCTTCAATTTGATAAAAAGAATATATTATAAAAAAATACAAGTAATAGGTTTATTCCATGCTGAAAAGAGAAGAAAGAAAACACAATGTTAGGGCCGTGGAGCCTTCTTCAGGTGTGAGAAAGACAGGGCAGTAGGCAAAGGTAATGTAGTGGGAGAACAAAAGCCTGGAGAGCGGGAGCAGGGGACAGAAAGAGAGACCAATCATTTAGTGTGAAGTCAGGACAGGTGAAATGAAACCTACAATGAACAGAGAATTTATAAGACAACGGGTCTGTCGTTGAGAGAAGGGGAAAGGTGTGATCCTAGCTGCAGGATAATTTTAGTTTCTGTAGTCTTTCTGATGTGGGAGTTAGGAAACCCATCTTTGAGAACACAGAGGGAGAGATTAGTGTGATCATGGCCATCAGAGGTGAAATGAGAAACAATAGGCTTGGGGAAATCTTTAATCCTGGCCAAATTTCCCATTAATCCTTTAAGCACTTTACAGGTAATGAAGACTCCTCTCCACCACCACCAATGTGTAGCCCTAACCTGGATGAGGGAGCTTTCAAAAGTGTGACCCAAACTCAAGTAACGGATCCAGTACTTTACACTATATCAAATGTAGTGTAGTGATATTTTGACTTTTGGATCTGTTTTATGAAGTGGCACGGTGTTGCAGTGGTTAATATTGCTGTCTCCTAGAGCTGGGGGACTGGGTTCAATTCTGGAACTGGGCTGCTACCTGCCTGGGTTTGCATGTGTTTTCTCCGGGTATTCCAGTGACCTGCCACAGTCCAAATACATATTGGTAGGTTAATTGGCTTCAGGGAAAATTGCCCCGTGTGTGTGTGTCTGCGTGTGTGCTCAGTGATGGACTGGTACCCCAATTGCTGTCGATCATTACTTGTTGGGATAGTCTCTGGCTCCCCTGCAACCCTGTATTGGATAGAATGGTGATAAAATGCGTGGATGGATTTTGCTTTTGGTTTCCTAGGCTGTGGAAAACTCTTCCCAATGAGATCAGGAGTTGGTAAATCCAAGGCATAGAAGTCTTCGTCTGCCTGCCTTAATAATAAGACTGCATTTCTACAGCTTTAATAATGTATATTGTCAATTTCTGTATCTAACCAGGAGGGGGAGACGCAGTCAACTAAATATACTTGAAGCGTTCTTCAATATTTTGTGAAGATGAACCGCATTATCGCGTAGTAGAGGGACAAGTTTTTATACATTTTAATGTGTGCCTCAATGTACCAAGAAATTCTTACTGGTAAAACTGACAACTACAGTTTGGCAACAGATGCGACTGGCAGCACGGACGTTAATTTTATGCTTCAGATTACAATTTTAGATCCAACCTTTGTATTACTGCACATACGTATTTTTGATCGTCAATAAAATAACATTTTAATTTTACAAATACAGATTTTCTGTGCTGTTCTTTTGCTCATTTAACATTCAAGTCAGTCTATTATTCTTCATAGTACTGGTATAGCCTTTTAATTTAAAAGGATTTATTATAAAAATACATTTCTGCGAATTTACCTTCCCTGAATTGTTTTAGAGTTTAGAGGTTTGCTTTGTCTTGAAAACAATGAATTGGACGATACACTAACAAACACACGCTGTAGCAAGTTAAACGTGACTGTGCATGCTCAAGGGTAACCAGCTGAGCAGCTGTTCGCTTGTATCAGGGCTGGGATACATCGGATGCAAGCTCAGCTAACACGAATGAACCTCGTGTTTCATTGATCGGTCATATACAGTGTAAGGATACATTATATACGTTTCTGTGAGTCTAAGACAACATCTGTGCGCCTCCACACAACACCTTGTGTCACTTAGAGCGGAGGTCGGCTGTGTAAACCGCCAGCTGTAGCTTTAAGAAGAAGTAAGAGATTTCTGTTTTAAGCGTTCATCAATAAAAATAGCGGCGAGGGTGAGAGCATTGCTTGTATGCAGCGCTGCCTTGAGCCCATAGGCTGGAACCCCGGAACGCGTATTTATCATGGTCTAGTCTTCATCCGGGATTGCTTTCCACACTGCATGCAACTTTTTTGTGACAGAAAGAAACCGTATCACGTCGTTTTCTTCAAAACGGGCCGTCAATGTTTTAGACAGAAAAGGAATAAACATAGGACCCGAGACAAAAAAGGAAGAGCGGGCGTTAATTCTGTACAATTTAAAATATACGTGAAGGTAATGGCGGACTGATGATCAAACAACTCGTGCTGAGCGTGTAAAACATTTGGAGACGATACTTTATGTAGAGCAAGCAGACATGTGTTATACAGATATGTATGTTGTGGTTATTAGAAACAGACTTCGTGGAGATGTTTTGTAAGGTGGTGGCGCACGGCTTTTAAACAGCGCACTCCAGGAAGGGAGCTTACGGACGTGTGACCCTATGCCAAGTAACGGATACAGTACTTCATATCAAATTTAATGTAGCGATATATTACGCTTTCTTCTTCCTCTGCCCTCCCTTCATCAGTACATTACAAAGTCAACAGCGCAGGAATTGGGAAACAATAGTTATAAACCAGAGTCGGTCTTGGTCTGCCGTGAACGTTTCTTTTATAGTAGGATTTTTCTACCCCCCAGAATCTATAAACGTTTTAGAAATGGGAACTCAGGGAACTGGGAGGAAAAGAATTCCCAACAGAGAAAGACTGACGGCAGAAGACGATGCCCTGAATCAAATTGCAAGAGAGGTGAGTGTTTTAAAGCAACAACTACTCTACCAGTCGTACAGTCATACTGCGCAAAAAAAAGACCTGCATCCAAATGTCGGATGTTATGATTCTTTTAGTTTGGCTTGTAATTTTTATTTTAACCGACAAATCCGACCTTCTTTTAATAATATTTCAGTTCTTGTCGGTTGATTACCTCCCACAAAGGAGGTATTGTGCAATACATCACATTTCAGATCTGTTGCCTGCTCTTGTTACGGCAGAATGAAAAGGCATTGCTGTCACTGCTACTGTACCCCAGGGGCATGAGGATGTTGACAAATACAGGAGCGATGTGTGAACTTCAAAGTGACAAAGATGCGCTATTTCGATGGTGGTGAAAGTCACTGTATTTGTGTAGACTTGGCCTGGTGAATTGTCGGTTTGGTTCTGTACAGTATGACTGTTCTCGTCTGGTTGTACTAGCTGTGGGAATGTTGGTCTGCACAATTTTGCCATGTCGGAGCCCCACTTACTGCCCAACTAAGGTTGCGGGGTTCGTGAATGGCCGACGTGCCGCTGTTGAATTTCACAGATAGGGCCTGAACCCTCAGCTGCTGTCTGACACATCGTCCAGCTTCTCTTTTACCGGCTCATTTGCCCTTGAGAAACGCTTAAATGGTCAATTATTATAAGCACAGACTGAGTTGGTGTAACGAAACGGACGACCTGCAGGCATTAGGTTTCTTTGCATCAAAAATTCAAGAAGGTGTCTGGCAAGTCAGTATATTTCACACTTGCAGTGCTTTTAGATGAAGTGCTTCCTGTGACAGTTAAGACGGTTACTGTGAACGGCTCCATTATCTTAGTCTCTGAAGCGAGGACACAGTTTATTACAAGACCGTGAAGGACAAATTACAGAGGAAGGGAGGACTGTTTTGGTGATTTGCTAGTGTAATTATAGACTCCACGCCGTTATCAAAAGTGTAATTTGCAGTTCATTTACCATGTGATAACGTCGTATATTTCATCGTAAGTGCCGAAACACTGTGACAACTGCCTTAGTTTCAGTCTGCTTTAATGACTGGTGCCAGAGTCACATTCAGATAACCCTGAATTGCTGTCAGATCACTCTTTTGTGTTTCCAATGTCTTCGTTTTTGTAAAATTTTAGATAGTAGTCGTTTTCGGCCTTGAAAATACTTTGAAGTAACGTTGATATCTCCATGGTAGATCTTCCTCCTCTTAGCACCATGTACAGTAACTGTTGCTTTTAGATAAGGAAACAATGCTAAGTCTGTTCGCTAATCCTGTGCTACTGTTGGATGATAGTTACAGAGGTGCACTAAATTCTGGCGTGCACGTAATGACAGAGCAGTGAAACTTTGTCTACTGAGGAGAGAGAGATTTACATATCTTTCATGAGCTTTTAAAACCTTGACTCCACGGGACTCACGTGATAGCGTACTGTCTCCTGTAATAATAGCTCCCCAGAAAACAGGTTAATGATAAAAAACAAGATGATTTAAAAACATTCCTACTACAGCAGTTTAAGGAGTTGGACCATTTCGTGTGGGCATTAGCTAATACGAAGAAAGATTTCAAGAGCTTGTTGCTTTCAACAATACAACATTAAAGAATGCTGAGTGTAAACTAGCCTCATACTCTAGTTCCTTCAGACTTTTTTTGTCAACTTGCTTAAGTTTGTGAAGCGTAATCTGTAAAAATGAGTTTAGAAACTTAGGAATCCAGAGCTTGATTGAAAACAACCACAGAAGTCATTATTGCTTTTTCACCATCAAATGATTTTGAAATGATCTAGTCATAATCTGGAATTTTCTACATTCCTGAATTACTTTATTTTGGAAATTCACAATCTTCTTTATGAAACTATGAACAGTACACTGCTATAAACATTGAAGTGTCCTCAGTTGTAGTTTTAGTTGTGCCTGGCATTTCTATGCAAATGTCATCAATAGACCCTACAGTGATACAGAAGGAATTTACAAAATGTTAATCTTAAAATTTCCTTAGCAAAGTTGTAGATTCGTTTTTTGTAAATCCTTTAATTAAGGCTATTTCATAGGTGATTTACTAAAAAATGTGGCTTTATTCCCTAGCATGGACTTTGTAGATTCAGTGTACAAGACAAGCCAAACTCCATACAGTTCATAGTTTTCAACAGGGCTGTGGACGTAAATGCAGGTGAATTACTGTATTGCCAAAAAAATGAAAGAAACGACAATGACTGCACAGTATGTGCTAGTAATAATGCAGACAGTCTGAAGAGTAATCTGAAAATGCTGGCAACTTTCCTTGTAGCCTATTCCTGAGCAAATGTGGGCATTTAAATGAAAGTGTATGATCCAGCACAAAACTGATCTGAGATGCCTACTGCGATGCGATCTTCTTGCTTCAGTGCTTATTGTCAGGAAGCACCTTAGCTTGCGTGTGACATGAATGTGGTTCAGTGAGTTCTGCATCTGAATGTAATTGGCAAAGGTTTTGCTGAATTTAAGGGCCAAGTGCACAGCCCAAGAAGGAAATTTGTGCTCGTAAGACGGAGGAAGTGTAGATTGTAGCACAAGAAGCAGAACCATCTTTTCAGTAAACACCTGCCTGTGAAGTCGGATGTTGCAAAAGATGTACGCAGATCACTTGTTTAAGGCTGTGGCTTTCTTTTAACTTTAGATATAAAACACATACTGTGTTGCTCTGTGCTCTAGGAGTACAAACTCCTTGTGCAGTAGGGTGGGTAAGGGGGGCACTGTGACTTTAAAAGCAGGGTTGTGAACATCCCACAGGGCCAGCAGACTGCCGGACCTGGTATGTCAATCTTGATGAGCTGGGAAATTCTGCAACAAGAGGTTTAAAAATAGAACTCCCTTAAAGATCAGCTGTTATTTCACCCTGGCCTGCAACCTGTGCAGGGTGTAACATTTTCACCTGAGACAAACAAATGTTTAGGTTGACATGTATTTGCAAAATTACTGGGAGGCAGTAACCAGAATGGTAGAATACGTTCTTTTCAAGAACTGAAGTGTGAAAAGTATGGAGAGCAAATCAACATGGGTCATTTCTTGTCTTGTTTAGCATATCCCGTGTGAGCTTATGTTGGTCAGATCCATTTCTCTTCATTACTATAGTAAGACTTGCTGTGGAAGTTAAGATTTACTTGTAATTTGCTTTGTTGTCTGGGGAAAGTGTTGGGCAATCAGCTAATTGGTTACAGTACAACAGCAATACATCACAATTAAATTTGGCTGCATGTAAGTATTTGACAAAATCAGTATCATTCTCTTGTCAATGCATGGAACTTGCAGCCCAGGAATCTGGTAATGTTTTGAGTCATGGGGGATCTATATTATATATAAAGTGGCATTAGAGTGAAAGTTTTAAACAGTAGGTCAACTGTAATGTGATTGTCTTAAGGTATTATAATGTGCTAACCTTTTGTCCTGGTTAGTTTGTAATCCACCCCAAAAAACTTAATACTGATGCACAAATTGTGAGGGACAGTTTAATTAGTTTCAGCAGGTGTATTTGTGTGAGTATCAGACCAACAACTCTTAAAAGTAATTAAAAATCTGGCTTGCTATCAATAACATAATGATTATTGTATCAAAAGTTTCTTTTGATACTGAAAAGTGAAATTTTTTACATTGTATGTACTCTAGTTTGCTCCATCTTGGATTAACAGTTCTATAGAATGGCTAAATAGGGCGTGTGCCCCCCTTCTAAAACTCCTCTTCTCAAACAGCATATCTGTAATCTGCCCATTCCTAAGGTGTTATAAATAGAAGGGGGAAGGGAGAACAGGTTGGGCTGATGTCAAAGGCAACTTATCTGACACAAACAGATCCCTTATTTGAAAGAGCTATAAAGACCGCAAAAGTGTGAATTAGCGTACTTGTGGTGCACAGTACAGTATCTGGGCTGAGAATGACTTGAGTTATACAGTAAGAATCTCCTAAGAATTAATGCTTTTAAGAAATTTGTGTCATTCGCTGACTTTAACCAAGTATGTATTAGCACTAAAATGAAGGTAATTTAGTTTTCCAACTCAAATAATGCATTTATACACAATTGCAGTTCATTTTTATACTGCTTGAAAACATTACAAATGATAAAATAATCAGTATTCAAATAACTTCTGACTGAAATACAAGACCTCTTGACTCTCAAGCATGTCTATTTGTCTGTGTCCTGAATCTATACAGTGAAGTTTCCCTGGAATTTTAGATTGGAACCCTTCAAGCTTCAAAATTCCATGTTTTTCTTTTAATCTGGAATTGATGGTGCAGTTTATCATTTAGTAGAATGTCTCCTCTTGACAAACTCTGTCCGAAAGATTCCAGTAACTGTGATCATGTGCCTAATAATCTTTTTTAAAGATTTATGAGGTGAAATGAAAGACTAATTTGCACAGTGTTATCATTTTCTGCAGTGAAATTATATATAACTGCTGAGATATAAAATGAATCCAGAGCTGCCTGACATTTGAATGTTTGTTTTTATAAATGTTAAGATATATTTGTTCTTTATTGAGTTAGGTCAATGGGGCAGTAGCACAGTGGTTAGCACTGCTGCCTTACACTTCTGGAACCAGTTCTAAAACTGGGGTGCTATCTGCATAGAGTTGATATGTTCTCCCCATATTCATGTGGGGTTTCTCTAGGTGTCCCTGTTTTCTCCTACAATCCAAAGACATACTGGTAGGTTAAGTGGCTTCTGGGACATTGGCCCGGGTGTCAGTGTGTCTGTGTCTGTGCATCTGCCCTGTGATGGACTGGAGTCCACCCTGCCTTGTGCCCTTTGCTTGCAGAGTTCTGGTTCCCCTGTGACTTTGAGTTGGATGAAGTGTTTAGAAATGTCTGGAAATTAGGTTAATTCTTCCCTTGATTATTAAGGATGGCTTCGACTTCATATGAAGTAAGGAATATGCTGGAAATGCCATCTCTAATTTAGTGCTGGCAGAGTTTCTTACACCTGTATGTGCATTCATCACAAAGTGCAGACTGAGAGTCCACAACATTTGTCCTG